ACACAGAGAACTTCATAGGTTACTTTACTCATGCAATAGGTTACTCATGCACTAGTCACCTTCCGTATTGACTACTGTAACGCTCTCTACATGGAGCTGCCCTTGAGGACCACTCGGAAGCTTCAGCTGGTACAAAATGCAGCCGCATGGGTTGTGATGGGAGAATCCCGATACTCCCATGTAACATCTCTCCTGTGCGACTTGCATTGGTTCCCGGTTGCCCTCCGGGTGAGATTCAAGGTGCTGGTGATGACCTATAAAGCCTTACATGGCTTAGGCCCAGGATATTTGGTGGACCACCTGCAGCCAGCAACAACTTCCCATTGTCCGGTTCGCACCCATACGGAGGGCCTGCTCAGGGTGCCGTCAGCTAGACAATGTCAGCTGGCGGCCCCCAGGGGTAGAGCCTTCTCTGTGGGTGCGCCCACCCTCTGGAATCAACTCCCCTTGGGACTCCGGCTGGCTCCTGACCTTCGCATTTTCCGCCGCAAATTAAAATTTGGTTATTCAAGTCCCCCAGCCTGGACTGATGGGGTTTTATATGGGTTTTTAACTTTTATCTGGTTTAATTAGGTATTTTAACTTTGTACTGTGGTTATTGTGGATTTTATTGTTGTGAGCCGCCTTGAGTCCATTGGAGATAGGGCGGCATATAAGTTAAATAAAATTAAATAAATTAAATAATTAATTAATTAATTAATTAATTAATTAAATAAATAAATACTTTAACTTCAAACATCTTTTGATTAAAACTAATTCTCTCTTGATTTGCAACAGACTCAAGCCATTAGAGTAGTCTACAACCAGCTACGGTGATGTCAAATGGATGAAAACTTGCATGACGATGTCATTGTGCAAGTGGTATGATTTACATACTTGTATTATGTAAATAATCTCATTTGCGTGATGATCTCATCAAACATAGATCGGCATTTTGCCTACCATTCCTTTCCTGCTGGCATCCTTGACTACCGTTGACTCAATTAAGTGTGATAGAAGCGTGCTGTGCAATCCAGCTCACCAGAAGTACCGTATGCCTTATATTAAATTCATGGGAAGGAATGGAAGGCTTAGCTTCATTACTTAACAAATTCTGTTCCAGCTGAATGAGATATTGTGCCTTTTTAATAATACACAAAGGTTATTAAAGTCTGGTGAGGAAAAAAAAAAGGCTTTTGTGTGAAATATTTGATCTCGCAGAGGTGATACATTGAAAATTGTTTAATGATTTCTGGTAATAAAAAAAAAAAACAACCCTGGAAATGGAAAATTCATTTTATTTTATCTTGTCAGGTTTCTTTATTTTTCAGCTTACTGAACAGAATATAATTGAGAGCTGCAGTAAAGTATGCTGAAATTCAAGCCAGATCTGTTCTTGCTGAAAAACACCTGGGTCTAAGAGTGAGGGTATAAGATCTGTGTGAAAGTTTTATCAGGATTATTTGAAGCATCCAGTGACTTTGGAGTTGAGGCTTCTTCAAATGTTAGGGGTCCTTGAGGGCATCTGAGCTGGATTTGTTTTCTTACAGATGTTTCATTATCCAAACTAAGTAACATCAACAGTGCTAGATGTTACCTGAGCAATAAATATTCTCTTTTATTTTTCAGAAGTTGTAGTTCGCTAGATGTGATTGTGCAGCCATAGCTACTGAGCAGGGGTGAAATCCAGCAGGTTCTGACAGGTTCTGGAGAACCGCTAGCGGAAATTTTGAGTAGTTTGGAGAACCAGCAAATACCACCTCTGGCTGGCCCCATAATGGGGCAGGGGAAGGATACTCGCGCTCCATGGCATGGGACCTGGGTATTTGCGGGACCGCCTTCTGCCGTCGATAGCCTCCCACTGACCAGTACGGTCCCACAGAGAGGGACTCCTCAGGGTGCCTTCAGCCAGGCAATGTTGGCTGGCAACCCCCAGGGGGAGGGCCTTCTCTGTGGCAGCTCCTGCCCTCTGGAACGATTTGCCCGTGGAGATACGAAGGATATCGGATCTCCGGGTTTTTCGCCGTACCCTAAAAACTTTTCTTTTCCATCAAGCAGGGCTGGCGTGACTCCCCCCGCCTTTTTAGTCTTTTTAGCTTTTTAAATCGGGATATAAATTGAATAAATAAATACTGCAAAATCTCCAACCCCACCCCACTCCAGGGGAAGGATATTGCAAAATCTCCATTCTTACCCCACTCTGGGGCCAGCCTGAGGTGGTATTTGTTGGTTCTCCGAACTGCTCAAAATTTCCACTACTGGTTCTCCAGAACCTGTCAGAACCTGCTGGATTTCACCCCTGATCCTTAGGCATAAGACAGTGCTGTGGGAATTAGGTATTTAGCAGAGTGGAGGAAAACTGTCTCAAGGTCTAGTTTTGGCATGCAATGCCCTACAGTGGGTTCCTGAGGGGAGGAGTTGAAACAGTTTATGTTCAGGATGTGATGGGTCTGTAGTCTAAGGAGATTCTCAGTCATCCAGGTCATGGTTGCCTCAAAGGTCTTTTTCAAGAGGCAACTGGACTTTCTGGTTTTTCTTTGAAGATGTTTAGCTTCTCATCCAACTCAAGCAGAAACGACTCCCTTGTATATAATATATCACAAAACAAGGCAGCCTTAGAAATTTGAGATTGGTTTTTAGGGGGGGGGGGGAAGTTAAGAAGTTACTTTAGAAATAAAATAAACTGTTTAAATAAACATAAGCAACAATCTCTCATGTCTCAAGAAAAGGACAAACTCCTAAGTAGTGATTAATGAACAGAGATAATGGAAGGGAAGGAAAAAGAAAGCTAATAAAAGTTCCTCTTTGAAGATGGTTTATTATCATGATGGTTGACTCAGCCTTCCATCCTTTCGAGGTAGGTAAAATGAGGACCCGGATTGTGGGGGCAATAAGCTGTCTTTGTGCAAAAACAACACTGCTTAGGGGGAGCCGAAAGCCCTACTAAGCAGGTATATACAAAAGTATGAAGGCTATTGCTTAACGCATTGTAAGCCGCCCTGAGTCTCCGGAGAAAGGGCGGCATATAAATCGAACCAATAAATAAATAAATAAATAAATAAATAAATAAATAAATAAATAAATAAATAAATAAATAAATGTTATTTCAACATTTTGCTTTTCTATTTCTATTTTTTATTTTTGCTATTAGCTTGAAGAATATAAAGTGAACCTATGTCATTTTATGTTTATTACAAAGTGTCATATTATTTTAAAAGGGAAATTGTTCCAGCAGCTTTGCTGGGCATATTTGCTCCCTAAATTTTATAAGCGGAGAGCAAATATAGTTGCTCTGATCAGGCTTTGTTTCTCTCAAATAATCCTGCCTGCTTCAGTTGCCTCGTGGCATTGCTGAGAACCTCTACCTCTCTCTCTCTCTCTCCTGATGTTCTGCTTACGGAGATGGAGATGAAGATGAAGAAGATGAAAGTGTTCTTTTCCTGTGTGTGAAAGGGATGAGTGAAGGCAGGGATGAAATCAGTGGTGAAGTCCAATTTTTTTTACTACCAGTTCTGTGGGTGTAGCTTGGTGGGCGTCGTGTGGCTTGGTGGGTGTGGCTTGGTGGGCGTGGCAGGGGAAGGATACTGCAAAATCTCCATTCCCACCCCACTCCAGAGGAAGGATACTGCAAAATCTCCATTCCCACCCCACTATGCGGCCAGCCAGAGGTGATATTTGCCTGTTCTCTGAACTACTCAAAATTTCCGCTAACAGTTCTCCAGAACCTGTCAGAACCTGCTGGATTTCACCCCTGGGTGAAATGCTACCAGTTTGCACTGATTTGGGCGAACCTGTAGTAAAAAAAAAAGCTACCAGTTCATCTGAGCTGTTCCCCCCCCATTGTTCTATTTACCTTGTTAAGCTTTCTTTTTCCATGTGAAGCGCGTATTTGGTGCACATGTGCGCGCGCAGCATGCTTTTGACACGCACTGCACATGTGCACACACATGCATGCACACAATGCGCATTTGGCACCACCACGCATGCGTGGGCAGAAAACCAGTGGGTGAAGGGCATCACCTATCATCTAGCTAACTATATCCTATCAAGAGAAGGGCCAGAGAGCAAATGGTCTCTGTTATGTATTGAATATATATATAGTTGTGTTAAGTCCTGCTAAAATGAAACTAATCTTTAGATGACCCTAACTGTTAACGCCAACTCTTGTGGAGGGAAACTTAGAACATTCATATTTGGGCGAGCTTTTTCAAGTATTATGATTGGTTAAGGCCCTGTGGGCCCAGAGTATAAATTACAGGGATTTGCCTGCAGTTCCTCAATTCCAGTTTTGAGTCAATAAATGCTGTTGTATCTATTATGGTCTGTTTCTTGCCTGCTGAAGCCCACTACACAATAGTCTCTGTGGTCGCCTGGGAACAAAGAGCAGGAAAAAAATGATCATGGACAAGCAGCAGGAAGAATGACAGAAAAAGAGGGGATATAAGAATAATCCAGATTCAGGTTAACAGAGTTGGAAGGGACCTTGTAAGTCATCTAGTCCAACACCCCACCCAAGCAGGAGACCCTACACCATTTCTGACAAATGGCAGTCCAGTCTTTTCTTGAAAGCTTCCAGTGATGAAGCTCCCACAACTTCTGAAGGCAACTTCTGTTCCATGGGTTGATAGATCCTTAATTTTCTTTCTACATCCAGCTAGCCTTTCTGATCAATAGTTTTTGTGATGTTGAAGAGTTAGTGCCACCAAAGACACACTTCTGACAACATGAAGATATTCCCAAGCACTGGATGGAAGAAGCATCTGGTTCTGGATTAGAGTCTTGTGAGTCTAGGCCAAGGATGATGGGTCTGTTCCTGCCTTGTCAAAGTTCTGGGGTCTAGAACTACTTACACCGATTCTTGAGACATGTTCTTTTGGTTGTTCCCCATGTCTTGAGGTAGACTTTCGACCAAACTAATCCATGTAACATTATGTGCCTGCGAGAAAGAGAAATCTGTTATTGATGCTACCTTCACAGAAAGTACATTCAACACTATTTGATTTTTTGTTTGTTTGTTTCAGAAACATCCATTTTTTTCAAACAGCAAGAACTTCGAAGGATGAAGTGGGAAAGGAACCGTGTGACACCAAGAACAACCTATCGGCGTTCTGTCAGTAGAGAAAGATGGGTGGAGACTTTGGTAGTTGCTGACAGTAAAATGATTGAATACCACGGAAGCGAAAATGTGGAATCCTATATCCTCACTATCATAAATATGGTGGGTCACATAATTTGTTTCTATTGGGGTGGATTTGATTTTGATTTGATTTTGATTATCCCCTATATTTAATTATTTTCTCCTGTCATCTTCAAAACAGAATGATGCTTTTGTGGAAGCACAGTCCTTTATCCTAAATGCGCCTGAAGAAGTATGCCAAATACAGATGGGGAAAACTGTGTAAAATTTGACTCAAAATATTTTAGCAAAAGCAGCAACACTTCCAGTTCATCTAAGCAACTTAATCTTTATCCATAGCAACCAAAACAAACTCTATATAAGTTTGCCTTGCATTTTGTTTAATTTGCTTCAGTTATTATAACTGAATATAATTTGCTTCAGACCTTTTTATTCCAGCAGGCGGGCTTGGCCTAATCTCTTCCCTTTTAAATATGTAAATTTTAATCTGTTTTTAAATTATTGGGGTGTTTTAATCTGTCTGGGCCAAAATAATTTAATTTGATTTTATCTGGTTTTTAAATTTTTTATGTCTATGTTATTTTATTGTTTGGCTGTTCACCGCCCTGAGTCCTTCGGGAGTAGGGCGGTATACAAATCGAATAAATAAATTATATGTTCCAGTAATTCCCACTTGACATCTCAGAACCTCTTCCTTTTCCTTTTGTCTCTTCTTCTTTCCCCAGTTATATTTAGTTTGTAAGTTCTTTGGAGAAAGGAATTATCTTTTGTTAGCTGCCAGATACTTTGATGTTGACTGACGGTGTTTATGCAGGGGTGAAATGCTACCGGGTTGCTCCGGTTCGGGCGAATCGGTAGTGATAAAAATTACTGGTTCACGCGAACTGGTAGTAAAAAAACCACTACCGGTTCAGCTGAACCAGTAGTTTAAAAATGATAATCTGAACCGGTATTTCCGATAATCAGCTTTGCTGCACGGTTTATATTCACTAGAAAGCAGGAAATCCTGCTTTCTAACGAAGCTAAATCACGCGGCACAGCTGTTCCTCCCCACTGTTCTACTTACCCAGTGAAGTCTTCTTTTTCTGCATGAAGCATGCATTTGGTGTGTGTTGTGCATGTGCGCATATGTGCTTTTAGCGCGCACTGCGCATGCACACCCGTGGTGCACATTTGGCGTGCACCATGCATGCGCAGACAACGAACTCGTGGTGATCCACGGAGGATTTCACCACTGTGTTCATGGGACTGAGGAACGTGTCCAAAAAAGTCAAGATGTTATTGTGACCCAGGCCCAAGTAAATAGTAGGAAAATCAGTCAGTGAAAAAACAAACTTTATTCGAACAGCTGAGAATTACTTCATTCCCAGTGTCGTTCAACTAAATTAAAGCAAATTCCTCCCAACACAAATTCCTCAGTCCTATCGCAAACATTGGTCCAATTAGGCAAACTGCCAAAGGCCTTTCTTGGCAAACGTTCAGAAATCATGGATACAAAAATAAATACAAGACGTAGACGAAGAAGAAGACAAAGCTACCAACATTGTTTTCCGGCAAAGTCCAAAGGCCGTTGCCGGTCTGTTTTAAGCCTTATGGAGGGGCCAATCATCTCTTGGCCCTACTCCCAAGTTGTTCTCTTTACTTGAGCTGCTCTTGCCTTCTGACAGCTCTTCTCATGTGTGCATTAGGAACAGGCTCCTCCTGTTCCTCTGCCTCACTCCTATCAGTCTCTGGAGGCTCTGTGTTGTGGCCTGCCAGCGGCCTGCACGGATTGTGGCTGATCCCGACGATGAGGAGGCTGGTGTGGTGTCGCGCCAGCAGCCTGTGCAGCCGGCGCTCGAGTTGGACAGCGAGGAGGCTGAAGAGGATGTGGTGTCAGAGGCAGAGACTCAGCCGGGGTCTTCAGAACCTCCAGAGGCTCCTTCAAGTGAAGAGAGTGAAGTGGAGGAGCGTCTTCTCAATGCTCGAGCACGCAGGGCTGCCAAAAGCAGGAGTGGCTACTCAGGAGGAGGTCTCCTCGAGAGTAAGGCTTGGAGTTAATTGGCCATTCCCTTAGGCTATTTAAGTTCGCACACAGATAGCAAATGTTGCTGGAAACAACGTTTTGGTCCTACGCAGAGTAATTTGAGAGTGAGTTTTTTGTTACAACTTGTTTTCTGGGCTGATTGCCAACCCTTGTCCGACTTTGTTTAATCTCTGTAATTCATAGCAGGCTGATAAGGACATTTGTGGTTAAAGCCTGCATTTTGAAAGGGGTCTGTTTGTATTAAACAGAGTTTTTGGAGCTGTGTGTGTGTGCTACACTTCTTGGGACCCGTAGCTGGGGCAGAACACTCTGGAGTCCGCACCTCAGTCCCCGATGGCCCTGGCCCCATCTCTGCCTCTTGACGCAGAGCCTTCATCTGGTCCTTCCCCAGCCTCCAGGACTGGGCCATGTTCTTCCTCAGCCTCATCGCTGTCTGACTCCGCTGCCAGCTCGCGGACCACAACAGATGTTAGCCACAACCATGCAATCAAAGCACATTTTAAAAAAAAAAGGTGGAGGTTCAATAGTAGGACTGTGTCTGTCATCTTGACTTCTTTGACACCCCTCCATAGAGACCTCATCACTATTAGGAAAAAATATTGAAGAAGAAGAATCCGCTAACTTCATATTGCCTGGCTTTGATTTAGGTGGCAGGATTATTCCATGATCCGAGCATTGGCAACGCGATCCATATTGTGCTTGTTCGGCTTATTCTTCTTGAAGAAGAGGAGGTAAGAACTTGGTCTCCCAATTAATCCTTGCCTTGGTCATGTCATTGAAGGGAGATGCTCGAAGGAAAGAGCAAGTTTATAGGGCCTTGCAAAAGAACAGAAGGGTTCTTGCTTGGTGAAATTCAAATTTTTCTATTACTGGTTCTGTGGGAGTGGCTTGGTGGCCGTGGCAGGGGAAGGCTACTGCAAAATCTCAAATCCCACCCCACTCCAGAGGATGGATATTGCAAAATCTCCATTCCCTCCCCACTCCTGGAGGACAGATATTGCAAAATCTCCATTCCTACCCCACTCCGGGACCAGCCAGTGGTGGTATTTGCCGGTTCTCTGAACTGCTCAAAATTTCCGCTACTGGTTCTCCAGAACCTATCAGAACCTGCTGGATTTCACCCCTGTTCCTGCTATCTGAACTTCACAGGGCATGATGTTCCACAGGTTAAGCATTGCACCAGAGAAGTAAGGCATGAATGACCATCACTTGGGCCTCCGGTTCCAGAAATGGGTACAATTGGAATACAATAGATCTAGGATCTACTCAGTCAACTTTTACAAAGAATCCAACTTTTTATTTTTCCTCTTCAGAAATGCACTCTGTAGAAGAAGAGTTAGTATTGATTCCAACATGCCTGCTTTCAAATAAGATAAAATGCTATAAATTTATCATTATGCTTCACCTATCCTTTGGTTTAGGGATAACATCCGTTCCAAAGTAGAAAAAATAATAATGTTCTAACCAGTGGTGAAATCTAAAATTTGTTACTACCGGTTCTGTGGGCGTGGCTTAGTGGGGGGGAGGTAATGTGACTGGATGGGCGTGGCCAATTTTTTTTTACTTTTAAAACCATTTTTTACATGTAAAACCATGTAAAAAATGCTTTCAAAAGGCTCTGACGATCCCAGCTGAGTTGCCTGATCGTCAGAGGGTTTTTTAAAAACCCTTTGCCGATCAGGCAACTCAGCTGGGATCGTCAGAGCTTGGATCGTCAGAGCCATTTAAAAGAAAAAAGTTTTTTTTTAAATGGCTCTGACGATCCAAGCTGAGTTGCCTGATTGGCAGGCAACTCAGCTGGGATCGTCAGAGCTTGGCTCGTCAGAGGCATTTAAAAGAAAAAAGCCTCTGATGATCGCGTGGCTCAGCTGGGCATGGGGGGGCGGGGGCAGGGATTTTTGCTACCGGTTCTCCGAACTGCCCGCCTCCATCGCTACCTACTCGCCTGAGCCGGTCCGAACCAGGAGCATTTCATCCCTGGTTCTAACTTAAGAAAGATATTGCAGTTTCTTTTTGTTTTTTTCCCCATCCTGTGAAGACTTTTTCCTATTGTATTGGGGGTTTTTTTCTCCCCTGATGTATCTTCACTAATAACCCCTTTTTTAAATCACATTCCTGGATTCAATAAATTACTATTATAATCATGTCTCTCACCTCATGCAATGGCAATATTTATTAAAACTAAATTAATTTGCCAGGCTTTGTAATTATTGCAGATACTGATAGGCTTCTGACAAGATAATTCATTTCCTCATCTATTTATAGCAAGGACTGAAAATCACCCACCATGCAGAAAAGACTTTAGCCAGCTTTTGTAAATGGCAAAAGAGTATCAACCCGAAATTGGATACAAACCCACTTCACCATGATGTAGCTGTACTTCTTACCAGGTAGGATATTCTCCTTACATATGGGGTTCTTGTTCTATTTCTGAATGAGATATGCATAGTCCTTGACGGCGCAGAGCCTTGGTGGCGCAGCAGACTAAAGTGCTATTAAGTAGCACCAGCTGCCTGCAATTACTGCAAGTTCAAATCTCACCAGGCTCAAGGTTGACTCAGCCTTCCATCCTTTCGAGGTAGGTAAAATGAGGACCCGGATTGTGGGGGCAATAAGCTGACTTTGTGTATACAAAAGTATGAAGGCTATTGCTTAACGCATTGTAAGCCGCCCTGAGTCTCTGGAGAAAGGGCAGCATATAAATCGAACCAATAAATAAATAAATAAAAGGTGCTTTCTTTTCAGGAGACAACTGGACTTTCTTGTTTTTTCTTTTGAAGATGTTTCACTTCTCATCCAAGAAGCTTCTTCAGCTCTGACTGGATGGTGGGGAATGGAAGGATTTATATTCCTTGCAGACAGCTGGTCATTTGCATCCTTTTAGTGGGTCGTTGAAGCCCTTGAGGGTTTTCATCCCAAATTGTAGAGTCTGTAGAGATTCTCAGTCATCCTGGATGACTTTTAGCTATTCAATTTGGTATGAACACCCTTTGAATGGTGTGGGAGTAGGAATGGATTTCCAGAGGAAAACAATTTCAGACTACAGGAAGCAGGAGCACTACTCAGGTGAGCCTGAGGAGACAGATAAACCTCCAAGGGCTTCAATGACCCTCTAAAACTGTTGTGACCTAGGCTTACTGAGTCATTACAAGACACAAATAGTCCCAAATAAACCTAGTTTATTGTAACAGCTGAGAATTACGTTCATTCCCAGCTGAATCCCAATTAGTTGCAAAACAAGTCCTTCGGAAGAAGTCCTTCGAGATAATCACCAACCTTTATCTTCTTTGACACCCTGCCAAAGGCCTTATTTGGCAAAGCTCCACGAAGTTCAGAAACAAACAAGAGATGCTGACTGGAAACAGAGTTAGCAACGTTGCTTTCCTGCAAAAAGGCCCAAGTGCCTTTGTTTCTCTTTTAAGCCTTATGGGAGGGTCCAATCATCTCCTGGCCTTACTCCCGAGTCATCCCTTTTGCTTTAGCTGCTCTTGCCTTCTGGCAGCTCTGTGCATGCGTGCACTAGGAACAGGCTCCTCCTGATCCTCTGCCTCTCTTCTGTCTGACTCTGGGGGCTCCAGAGTCCATGCATCCCTCCAAGATGGCCCTGGCCCCATCTCTGCCTCCGATGCAGAGCCCTCGTCCGAGCCTTCCCCAGACTCCAGGACTGATCCATGTTCCTCCCCAGCCTCCTCACTGTCTGACTCTGCTGCCAGCTCCGCAAGCTGCTGGCAGACCACAACAAAAACAGGGGTGTCAAAGTTGCATCGACATGGCATTGTCACATGATGTATCATGACTTTTTCCCCCTTTGCTAAACCGGGCGTGGGTGTGGCCAGTGTGTATCGCATCCAGCCCACAGGCTGTGCGTTTGACAGCCCTGCTCTAAAAGGATACTAATTACCAGCTGGCTGCAAGGAATATAAATCCTTCCTTCCCCCACTACCCTGTCAGAACTGAAGAAGCTTCTTAGATGAGAAGCAAAACGTCTTCAAAAGAAAAAACAAGGAAGTCCAGTTGCCTCTTGAAAAAGCACCTTTGGGACAACCATGACCTGGATGACTGAGAATCTCTACAGATGGGTAGTCCTTGACTTACAACCACAATTGAGACCAAATTTCTGTTGCTAAGTAAGGCAGTTGTTAAATAAGCCATGCCTGATTTTGCAACCTTTTTTTTTTGCCACAGTTGTTAAGCCAATCACTGGAGTTGGTAAATGAATCATATGGTCATTAAGCGAATCCAGCTTCCCACATTGACTTTGTTTGTTGGAAGCCAGTTGGGAAGGTCATATGATGCTGCAGCCTTCATAAATACATGCCAGTTGCATTCATGAATTTTTATCAAATGTCCGTAGGGATGCTATGAGAGTCATTAGTATGATGACCTGTTGTAAGTCACTTTTTTTCAGTGTCATTATAATTTGTTAAACAAATGGTTGTAAGTTACTATTTAGCTTTTCAGAAGAAACAGGAGTAGGGAAAGCTGGATTTCTCAGTAGAATTACTATAGTTGAAAGCAGCTTTATGGACTATCTAATGTTTTGCCTCATATACTTTTATGTATTTTACAATACTTTGGTACCTTACTTGAGCCAAGAACTATGCAAAATTGGATAACTGAATTCCACACATCAGAGGATGTGATTTCCCAATTCTTTTGCTTCCAAATATACAAATGATCAAATGAAGTTTGCCAAAAGAAGCAGTCAGGCTGCTGCTTCTGGTAAACCTCATTTGATCATCCGAATTACAACCTCTAGTATCCTTCACCATGACTATTGTGGCTGGAACTACTGTGGTTCTATAACATCTGGACAGGCACTTATTCCCATTCTTATCCTAAAATATCCTTATTCCCTTCCTACTTTTAATTATGAGTGTGTGTGGCTTAACGATGCCCTTGAAGTGATGTCCCGGTGCCTGGAGGACGTACGGATCTGGATAGGGAGAAACAGGCTCAGGCTCAACCCATCCAAGACCGAGTGGCTGTGGTTTCCGACGTCCCGATATAGTCAGCTGGTGCCATCGCTGACTATTGGGGGCGAATCATTGGCCCCCACAGAAAGGGCTCGCAACTTGGGTGTCCTCCTGGATTCACGGCTGTCTTTAGAAGAGCACTTGATGGCCGTGACCGGGAGGATTTTTCATCAGGTTCGCCTGATCCGCCAGTTGCGTCCCTTTCTAGATCGGGACTCCTTATGCACGGTCACTCATGCCCTCGTCACCTCCCATCTGGACTATTGCAACGCTCTCTACATGGGGCTCCCCTTAAGGAGCACTCGGAGGCTCCAACTGGCGCAGAGTGCGGCCGCGTGGGTGGTAATGGGAGCGACGTGGTGCTCCCATGTAATACCTCTCCTGCGCGAGCTGCACTGGCTCCCGGTGGTCTTCCGAGTGTGCTTCAAGCTCTTGGTTATCACCTTTAGAGCGCTCCATGGCTTAGGACATGCTTATTTACGGGACCACCTGCTACCACCAATAGCCTCCCACCGACCAGTACGCTCCCATAGAGAGGGGCTCCTCCAGGTGTCGTCGGCCAAACTCCCCCAGGGGGAGAGCCTTCTCTGTGGGGGCACCTACTATCTGGAACGAGCTCCCCCCGGAGATACGGAGGATCCCGGATCTGCGTACCTTCCGTCGCCCTCTCAAGACGTTCTTATTTCATCAAGCTGGCCTGACCTAAGTCTTTCCCCTTTTTAAGTGGAAATTTTAAATTTGGTTTTAAATTATTGGGGTTTTAAATTTGTCCAGCCAAATTATTTAATTCGTTTTATTTTATTTTAAATTTTGTATTTATATGTTTTATTCTATGGCTGTTCACCGCCCTGAGTCCTTCGGGAGTAGGGCGGTATATAAATTCAATAAAATAAATAAATAAATAAATAAATTACAAAGATCCATACATCAAAAAGTTGTTCCTTTGAATGTCACCTCTTTTTTGAACGTATGAGGTAGTCTTTGCGGTGCCATTCTGTTGAGACTGTCCCTCTTTATGCATACATTTGCAGCAGAGGGAAGCACACTGTTCTCTTTTAATCATTCTTTCATTAGAATGATTGCAATATGACACTGTACATGTCTCTTGTGTTATACTGTATTGGTGAGAAAGAAACAGTTGTTGTTGTTGTTAGTTGTGAAGTCATGTCCAACCCATCACGACCCCATGAACAACATTCCTCCAGGTCTTCCTGTCCCCTACCATCTTCTGGAGTCCATTTAAGCTCATGCCTACTGCTTCAGTGTCTCCATCCAGCCACCTCGTTCTCTGCCGTCCCCTTCTTTTGCCCTCAATCTTTCCCAGCATTAGGCTCTTCTCCAGTGAGTCCTTCCTTCTCATTAGGTGGCCAAAGTATTTGAGTTTCATCTTCAGGATCTGGCCTTCTAAAGAGCAGTCAGGGTTGATCTCCTCTAGGACTGACCAGTTTGATCGCCTTGCAGTCCAAGGGACTCGCAGGAGTCTTCTCCAGCACTAGAGTTCAAAGGCCTCAATTCTTTGGCGCTCGGCCTTTCTTATGGTCCAACTTTCACAGCCATACATTGCAACTGGGAAAACCATAGCCTTGACTCTACACACTTTTGTTGGCAGGGTGATGTCTCTGCTTTTTAGAATGCTGTCTAGATTTGCCATGGCTTTCCCACCCCCCCAGGAGGAAGCGTCTTTTAATTTCTTGGCTTTGCATTTCCTCCTTTTTATAACAACATTCTTTTTATGTGTCCCCTAAATAATAGAAACAAGGAGAAGGGGCTATTGATTGTACCATATCCAGAACCTATGTGGGGTTGTTGTTTTTTTGTTGGTTCTTTTCTTCTAATTCTTAATCCTCCTTTCCATAACATTCAAGTATCATTCGCTCTTATCCTCTCTTAAATCAAAAGAGTAGGAAGGGGACATTTAGGCTACTCAATCCTACCTTCAGCTCGATTCAGGAATCTAAATTAAAGCATCTTCAACAGCTTCTGCTTGAATCCATTTAGTAACCGAGAACTTGTCATATCTCCAGCTCATTAATTCACTGTCAAACAACCCTTACCCTTCAGTTTTCCCCCCTAACTTTCTCTCAGTATTTGCTCATTTGAATCCATTATTCTCTGGCTGTCATTACTCTGCTAAGCACTAATTTACCAAAACACCGTTTGGCATATTGTCACATCGTCACCATCACGTATAAGGCAGTCCCTATTATACCTGTCTGTCTTTAATCTGTTCTAGATTGGGTGGTGGTGATGACTGTTTATCCACCCATTTGGATGACAAATTCCTCTCCCCCCAAGCTTTGGGATAGGGTGAGGTTAGAATGGAAGAGAATGTGGAGGAGTTGCATGAGAGAAATGTAGGCTGTGGTTTTTCTATCTTTCAGTATATTAGTTTCATTTTTTTTTTAAAAAAAATTGATTTATATGTCACCCTTCTCCGGAGACTCAGGGCGGCTTACAATGCGTTAAACAATAGCCTTCATACTTTTGTATATTTATACAAAGTCAGCTTATTGCCCCCACAAACTGGGTCCTCAATTTACCCACCTTAGAAAGGATGGAAGGCTGAGTCGACCTTGAGCCTGATGAGAATTGAACTCGCAGTAATTGCAGGCAGCTGGATGTTAAATGCTGCCTTAGGAGGCATTAGCCTCCTACGCCACTCAGGCTCTGTTTTTATTTTAGATGTGTCACTTTATTCTTGGTTGTAAGCCACACAGAGGTTGGTTTAAGATCTTGGGGGGGGGGGGCTGTGCAAATGTAATCCATCCATCCACCCACCCACCCACCTTTTTGGCAGTTCCCCAAACACCCATTCACCTAGAAAGATAGTGGGGGGAGGAAACCCAAGTTTTCAACCCCCATGCATACAGATGTATTGTCTGACCTGGTCATCAATAATGAAATTAATCTAGCATGGTCAAGGCTATAAAATTACCTCAGAGTAAACCAGTTCCTAGGTAAAAGATTATGCAGGATTTGTGGTGAAGATTTACACTCATATCTCTGGTAATTTCTGGATTATACTGCCTAACTTTGCATCAAATTATATTCAAAAATCTTAACAAATCAGAGCCTAATCTACTAAAGGACATAAAATGAAGGGGAAATGTTTTTGGAAAACAACTCCTGTCCTTCAAAACTCTTTCCCAGATAGATAAATGCAGAAGCAAATATTTTTGGTTCTTAATTATCAGTGTTGTTTGGCTACAGTAATCACAGCGCTGTCTTGCCTGCGACTTTTCCCACAACAGTGCTTGTTAACAATAATTGCGCACTTTTGAATACTGCTATAATGACCTGAAATCTGTGACTCACTTTGCATTTTGTAAAAAGATGATTCCATATGCTATAATGCCTCATTTCTAATTTAGGAAGTTATAATTCAGCTTCTGAACACAGTTTATGGTAAGGATTACAAAGAATGAGAATAAAAATATTGTTAGACCATGGAAAATACTGACCGGAGGGAAAAAAGCTGTAACAGATGCAGAAGGACATTTGTTAAAAAAGTTCATTTAGGGCGACTAATCATGGAGAGAAGCAACTTAGAACTAAGGAGAAATTTCCTGACAGTTAGAACAATTAATCAGTGGAACAACTTGCCTCCAGACGTTGTGTGTGCTTCAACACTGGAAGTTTTTAAGAAGAGATTGGACAACTATTTATCTGAAATCATATAGGGTTTCCTGTTTGAGCAGCGGGTTGGATTAGAAGACCTCCAAGGTTCCTTCCAACTCTGTTGTTCTGTTATTCATATTAAATAAACAAGAGTATCTATGAGATTATTATTAACATTTTTTAAAATTTCATAGCCCCTTCTCCTTCTTTCTATTATTTAGGGGACACATAAAAAGAATGTGATTACAAAAAGGAGAAAATGCAAAGCCAGGAACTCTGGAGGTTGAACCTCTAGATTTCTGATGAAATATGAATCTTGGTAGATCCCCAAAAGTGATGTTTGTATCAACCTCTTTGTGTATACTTTTTTAGAATTAAGAGCACTAAAAACAGTGGCTCTATGTTCTGAGTGTGGGATTACCTCACTGATGAAATCCAATTTTTTTTACTACCGGTTCTGTGGGCGTGGCTTGATGGGCATGGTGTGGCTTGGAGGGCATGGCAGGGGAAGGATACTGCAAAATCTCCATTCCCACCCCACTCCAGGGGAAGGATACTGCAAAATCCCCATTCCCTCCCTACTCCTGAGGGAAGGATATTGCAAAATCTCCATTCCCACCCCACTCTGGGTCAGCCAGAGGTGGTATTTGCTGGTTCTCCGAACTGCTCAGAATTTCTGCTACCTGTCAGAACCTGCTGGATTTCACCCTGGATTACTTTGAATACACACGGTTTTGTTTTGTTTTTTTAACATCAAGCTTTTTTGCTGTGGTCACAGAAAAGACATTTGTGCCAGCATGAATCAACCCTGTGAAACCTTAGGCTTGTCCCATCTCTCGGGAATGTGTCAACCACATCGGAGCTGTAACATCAATGAAGACTCTGGCCTACCTTTGGCCTTCACGATTGCCCACGAACTTGGACACAGGTAAGAATAAGTTGGAAGTCTTGTGGAGGTGGGGCACAATTTTCGAAGTATAAGATGCATCGGAGTACAAGACGCACCTTAGTTTTTGGGGAGGAAAATAAGAAAAAAGCCGATTGGCAGGTGGATCGGCCTCCCGGAATACCCCCAATCAGCTGTTCCCAGAGATGAATTTTAGCAACAGGTTCCTTGGTTGTGAGCTCTGTGCCTTGCTTTTTTTTTGCTTTTTTTTTCTGCCTCTGAAACTTCTGAAACTCTGTTTCAGAAAAAACTTTTCCCTGCCTCTGAAAGCCTCCGAAACAGAGCTTTAGAAAAAAAGCCTCTGAAGCTCTGTTTGGGGGCTTCTTTTCTGAAGCTTCTTTTCTGATGCTTTTTTCAGCCTCTGAAACCTCCATTTGAGAAGCTGAGCGGGGTACATTCGGAGTATAAGACGCACCCAGATTTTCACCCTCTTTTTTGGGGGGAAAAGGTGTGTCTTATACTCCTAAAAATATGGTAAATAGATTTTTTTTAAATTCTTCAGGCAGAAATTGCATAAGACTAAAGATACACAAAACAAAGTAGAAGATAATTAGTAAAAAAATGTTATGCCTTCTCCACTTCCCTTCCATTTATTACTTCAACTGCTAACCCACTACCTATATATTTCCACCTTGAACTTTAAACATATTGGAAGTGATAAACAGAGGTGTCAGTGGAATCCTTGTTGCTCTCCTGGCTTGATTGTTTTCTTGCAGATGTTTCATTACCAAACTAGAGAAACATCAGCTAGAAAAGGGAGTGGAGTTTGATCTTTGTTTATATACAAGTGGCTTGCCTTGTCAATATGGGTGAGAAGCAGTGGTGGGTTCCAACCGGCTTTACTACTAGTTCTCTTTGTGCACGCGCTTCGCGCAAGCGTGTTAGAAATATGCCCAGCTGAGGTGCAGCAATCTACTCTGCCGCACCTATCAGCTGGGCTAAAAAAGAAGAAATAAAAGGTAGGAATAACACAGGGGCAGGCGGGAGGGCCCAGCTCCTGGACAAAGAGAACCAGTTCGGTGACGTCATATCATCACCTCTATCGGCTCGGCTGAACCGGGCCAAACCGGGAGGAACCCACCACTGGTGAGAGCTATCTTAGCAGTTCATCTCTTGGCTAGCTGCATCTGGTTTAACCATAAGGAAATGTTCTCTGGAACAATCCCATTTGATCACAGTGGTTACTTGGGAAAAGGAGTTAAGAAAGTGCAAATGAGCAAAACTTACCTAGAGGCTAAATCATATGATGAACAGCTAAGGGAACTAGATATGTTTAGCCTAATGAAGAGGAGGCTCAAGGGAGACATGATACTAGTCTTCTAACACTTGAAGGGTTGTTTATAGGAAAGATGACGTTAATTTATTCTCCATCTCTCCTGAAGGCAGAACAAGAAGCAGTGGGTGGAAGCTTGTCAGAGGGAGATTCAACCTGGAAATAAGGAAGAATTTCCTGATAGTGAGATGATTAATCAGTGGAACAGCTTTTCTCTGGAATTGTGTTTGTTCCATTGCTGGAGATGTTCAAGATTGGACAACCGGTTTGCCTGGGATAGCATAAGGACTCCTACCTTGGGCAGGCAGTTGGACTAGAAGATCTCCAATGTCCCTTCCAGTCCTATGATTCTCTATGAAATAAACTAACCATTATTTATTTATTTATTTATTTATTTATTTATTTATTTATTTATTTATTATTACAATGTAGCGGAATAAATACCACTGGTTACATTTGTAGACAAAACTTCGCTCCTGTGTTTTTCTTTTCTTTTTTTTCCTGAAGACTTGATATTGTTGTTGATTGGAAAGAAGTTTTTTCTCTTGTTTTTTCTTTTCTTTTCTTTTTAACAAAGCCTGCCTGGGCGGAAACATGGCACTGAGATTTACAAAGTCAGATAAACAAGTAAGGGGGGGGGATTCCACCAACAATTTAAGGAACAAGTTTTAACTCTTCAGTCTCAGAAACCTGATCTTAATATAATAGAATTTCTCTTAGAGGAGATTGAAAGAAGGGATGAGATTGTGAATCAGCATCTTGAAAAATTTAAGCAGGAAATTAAAGAATTGGTAAAATCTAAGTTTGATTTTTTGGAGCGAAAAATTTTAAAAGTGGTTAATGGATTTTCAGAATTTATGATACGGTTGGATACAAATACTAATTTACTAGAGTCTAAAATGGATGAAATTCAAGATAAATTGGACAATAGAATTCAAAAAAATTGAAAATGATTTGATAAACACTCAGGATAATAACTCAGAAGAAAAACCTAAAATGGATGCTGACCAAAAGTCTGGTAATGTAGAAAATCTGCAACAGAGGATTGAACAAGAGGTTCTAATGGTACAATATAATTTTACAGAATATGCGATAAGATTAAGAGGTTTGCAGGAAAATAATAGAGAGGATTTAAGGAAAATATCTTCTGAATTTCTAGCTGGGATTCTAAAGGTTCAACCTGACGAAGTGTTTAGTAGGATTGACAGAGTTTTCAGAATAAATTCCTGGATTGCTAAGCAAGGCAACTGCCTAGAGATGTGGTGATTTATTTTACGGACAAGGAAATTAGGAATAATATTGTGCAAAATTCCTTCAATTCTAATTTGCAATTGTATGGAAGAAAGATATGGATTTACAAGGAACTTCCACCTAAGATATTAACAGAAAGGAAGAAATTTGGTTTTCTGGTGTCTGAGTTAAAAAAGAGAAATATTCCATATAGGTGGAACGCCCCAGTTGGTATTATACTGAGACATCAGGAGAGAAAGATATCATTTAAATACTATTGAAAGAGCGGAAGAATTTTATCAAAATAGGTTGAACATGAATTTAACATCTTCAGGTATAATACAGGATAAGCAGAAGGAGCTGGAAATAAAGGGAAAATATCGAATTACAGAGACTGTACCAGATAAATTGCCTTTGGATTTATCGGATACCCCAGCTGGATTATCTATAAATTTGAGAGAAGTGCCATCTGATTTTAATGTGATGACTTATCAAGGCAAGGATAAGCATGGAAACCAATTAGAGGATATACAAGGGATAAAAAAGAAACATGAGACACAAAAACAAAATCAACAAGACCAATCTACAAAGCAGAATGAAAACCGACCAGTTGACATACAATCTGTAGAAAGGAAACCAGGATGGAAGTAACCCACAAAAAGAAAACAAAAAAAGAAATAGGTTGTACAAAAATAGAAATTTTTAACCCAAGCAACAGTGAAGCCAGTGACTTTAAAATATTGAATGATTATGTGAAAAACATAGAGGAGGCGACATATTGGTCAATATTATCCTGAGGATAGTAGCAGATCTCTGCATTGCCGTAATTTTGGGACGTGGAAAGAGCCTCAAACTGATGGATTTGAATCATCTACTTTGAAATTTCTTTTTGTGTTGATAAATATATTATAATTATCTTGAATCATAAGGCAAGAGAATCATGCTGGGGCATGCAGAAGATCCGGTTGTTACCCACTACGATGATGGAAATCAATAATCCTGATGAAACCCACAATTATTATTATATGGAATATAATTATAATGTCACTCGGGTGGTTGTTTTTACTTTTTACATATAAGAAGATATTTACTACTGATGGGGGCAGATATGATTGAAGATCTTGAATAAACTGTTGCATCAGCAAGCTATGTTACCCTATTATGGATGTTGGTTTTAACAATCCAGTGGAAAGACCTCAAAGAAGATATTATATGGACTATAAAATTAAAGTTATTGTCTTTTCTTTTCTTTTTTTTTTAATTAGATATAATGAAATATATATATATATTTTTAAGTAGTGTGGGCAGTGAATTAAAGATATTAAGAATTGTTGTGTATGGTAAATTTGCAGGACAGTGGGTGAATAAGCTAGCTACAGACTGATTAGTTTAAGAAAAGGGATTTTTAAGTGATACATTTAGGGGAGTGGAGGAAATGGATAGAGTGGAATAAATGTTAAATTAGATTATATGGGGAGGCCGCTTTGAATGTTATAGTAATATATATAGAAGATTAAATATTAAAGTAGGACTTATCGTATAGTTTTAAAGTGGAAGGTGGTTTTGAATTGTTGTAATAATATATAGATATAAAACATTATTATGTTAAATTAGAAGTTATTTTACAATAGTTATAGTATAATGTTTTTTTTTCTTCTTTTTTCTGAAAAGTATGGATAAAGGGGGATGTTATAATATTTATAATATTTTTAGTAAGTAAAGGTCAGTATTTTGAGGAGGGAGTAAGTAATCTGTTATGAATTAGGGGTTTTTTTTGTTACGAAGAAGTCACGGGGGGGGGATGGGTGGGGGAGGGGGGGTTAGGGAGGGGGAGGGGGGAAAAAAGGGCAGAAAAATTTGTATTTGAAAACTTTTTCAATAAAAAAAAAAAGAAAGTGCAAATGAGCAAAACTTACCTAGAGGCTAAATCATACGATGAACAGCTAAGGGAACTAGATATGTTTAGCCTAATGAAGAGGAGGCTCAAGGGAGACATGATACTAGTCTTCTAACACTTGAAGGGTTGTTTATAGGAAAGATGACGTTAATTTATTCTCCATCTCCTGAAGGCAGAACAAGAAGCAGTGGGTGGAAGCTTGTCAGAGGAGATTCAACCTGGAAATAAGGAAGAATTTCCTGATAGTGAGATGATTAATCAGTGGAACAGCTTTTCTCTGGAATTGTGTTTGTTCCATTGCTGGAGATGTTCAAGATTGGACAACGGTTTGCCTGGGATAGCATAAGGACTCCTACCTTGGGCAGGCAGTTGGACTAGAAGATCTCCAATGTCCCTTCCAGTCCTATGATTCTCTATGAAATAAACTAACCATTATTTATTTATTTAATTTATTTATTTATTTATTTATTTATTTATTTATTTATTTATTTATTGGTTCGATTTATATGCCGCCCTTTTCCAGAGACTCAGGGCGGCTTACAATGCGTTAAGCAATAGCCTTCATACTTTTGTATCTACCTGCTTTCAACCCCCCCCTCCCCAAGCGGTGTTCTTTTTTATACAAAGTCAGTTTATTGCCCCCACAATCCAGGTCCTCATTTTACCTACCTCGAAAGGATGGAAGGCTGAGTCAACCTTGAGCCTGGTGAGATTTGAACTTGCAGTAATTGCAGGCAGCTGGTTTTACTTAACAGTGCTTTAGTCTGCTGCGCCACCAAGGCTCTTAATATTAACCATTAATAGCATTATGTAGCATTATTGATAATTAAAGTGTAGGAAATGCAGCTTTTATTTCATACAGTACCACCAGGATTGTGCTGATTCTATATGTTCCCTTCGTGTCCTTATAAATAAAAGGTCAGTCCTTTTTTTTTCTTTTTTTTTTGCTGTATCATCCTTAAAGGATGTTAGGAGATTCTTTGAATCATTCCAATATTTGCACAGCCTTCTTTTTAATTTAAAAACTGTTTGCCATTATGAATTGCCTTTAATGTAATCTGTTAATGGTAACCAAAATATATTAAAACCAACTTTTTCTATTTACATAACTCTCTTCATCCATTATCTGAAATTCAAGTATTATTTTTTTTAAGAAAACGCAAGCAGGATGCTAAAGAGGGTACCCAAACGAATTGCAACATCCAACAACCTGCAACAGGTTTTTCCTTCTTTAGGTTATTTAGGATCAGGTTAAGAGAATCGCCTGTGGGCGGCAAAAAAATTAAATTACTTTATTGTCATTGCACCTCGTACAACAAAATTACATGCCATTTTCAGTGCACATCGTACATAAGAAAACTATAATCAATAAATAAATAAATAAATAAATCAGCTGTCCTGTCCTCATAAACTTCCATGGCAGAACTTTGTTTTGAGATTTATTTATTTATTCCTTGGGTTTCCTTCTCTTCAGTTTTGGCATCCAGCATGATGGAAAAGAAAATGACTGTGAACCAGTGGGAAGAAGGCCATACATTATGTCTCGGCAGCTTCAGTATGACCCCACACCACTCACCTGGTCACGATGCAGCAAGGAATACATCACCCGTTTCTTAGAGTGAGTCAAAGTGACAATTTGAAAAATGGAACCAAATGGCTCTAAGCATCTTTCAGCTACCTTGGTACTCATATATTGGGCTATAGGCTTGCAGATGGATAAAGGTGGGTCTACAAATATAATTTTAGGAGCCAGTAGGGATTTTTCTAGAGTTATACTGTAAATCTTGTGGTGACATAACAGTACTTAAGTCAGGCTTTACACTGTCTCAGTGATGGTTGGATAATATATGTACTATATTATCTTGAATATACCGGTAGTCACTACAGGTAATAATTTAGGGATCACAGTTGGAAGGAGCAACTTGGTTGTTAAACAAAGAAGTTGCTAAGTGAAACAGTGACTGTGCTTACAATCTTACTTTGACTTTCCTTTGTTTTACAGACCTATGAAAGTCATAAATGTGAGGATTGATCACATTACTTCTTCATCACTGCTGTAACTGTGAATAATCACTGTACTAGGCAGCCAGTTGGTGATAGAGAACCAATTGTTATTAGAATGCTCCCTTTGTTGATTAATCCTACCTGTCTTATTCTGGATAAAAACTAACCCAGCTGTATTCTGTGCTATAGAATAAACCATTTCATAATAGGGTATTTCATGTGCAAAATTAATTTCCCCTGCAATATCCCACAGAGTTGGCCTCTTCCGGGTCCCATCAGCTAAACAATGTCGGCTGGCGGGTCCGTGGGGGAGGGCCTTTTCTGTGGCTGCCCTGGCTCTCTGGAATCAGCTACCTCCTGAGGCCCGGACCACTCCCATCCTACTGGCCTTCTGGAAAATGGTGAAAACCTGGCTTTTCCGGCAGGCTTGGGGCCGTTGATCTCGCCACTGTGATCTTGCGAGATCCGGTCATGAGCGGTGTGTATGGGTTTTTTTAATGTCTTTTAATGTATATTGTTTATACTGTCTTTGTTGTAAGTCGCCCAGAGTCCTCGGAGAGTTGGGTGGCATAGAAATACGAATAATAAATAAATAAATAAATTTTAATTTCAAAATAGTCTTGCTACCCTGTTTCCCCTAAAACAAGACATGCCCTGATAATAAGACCAATTGGGCTTTTGAGCGCATGTACTAAAATAAGCCCCCCCTGAAAATAAGCCCTCCCCAAAAATAAGCCCTCCTCAAAAATATTTAAATGCATGTGCAGCTGGGCCCTGCCATTTCATCTGGTTAGGGTTAGGGAGACAGAGCTGGAAATCAGGTAAGATGGCAAGAGGAGCCCCGTCTTGCTCCATGTGCCCAAAATAATAAGACCTCCCCAAAAATAAGGCCAAGCACTTATTTCGGGGTTCAAAAAAATATAAGACAGGATCTTATTTTCGGAGAAACACAGTAGGTGAAGCCACCTAAACTGCAAATGCCACGCTTTTCTTAGGTATATGAAATCCAAGATCACATCAGTGGACTTCTAACTGTATAAATTCCTCCTATTTTCCCACTGTAGTTCCCAAATCATCTGTCAAATGCCTTCCAGATTGTTGAGTGATGCGCTAGAAGACATTCTGAGAATTCTTCTAGGGCTGCAACAGTAGGGTAACACATCACTGCCAATTTCACTGATGCAATTTAACACTCTGTTAGATTAGATCCTGTAACAATGAAGGTCTATCTTGCTGACTGACAAGTGATGAACTATAAATCTTATTTCACTGATATCATGTCACCTTCTCCTCCTCCTCTTCCACCTCTTGTAGTTATCAATGATTCCAGATAGCAGGCAGTGAAATAACAACACAATTTTTAGGACTTTCCCCTCTTCATCCTTTTTAGATGATTCTCCCCACTCTGAAAATGTATTTAGTTTGTGGAAACTTTTATTTAAATGTAATATTTTACTTAACTGTCCGCACCAAATAGGTGGACATTTGTGCTGTTGTTACTTGACTGCTTATATGGCAAGGGCAGCAGTTGGCCAATCATGGTTAAACTCAAAATAGCTAAGTAGGGTTAAGCAGTCTTCATATATGGAAGACATGGTACTGGGAAGTCTGAGGGCTATAGGCCAGGCTGGGTAATTAAAAAAAAACATCCTTAAAAAAAGAGCAAAGGCAAAATATTTTCATCCTGTTATCAGGAAATGGATGTGTCCATAGGTCACCACGAGTCAAGCTTAATTTATTAGAGTCTGATTTTAATTGACATTGAATTTTGCTGATGTGACCTTGGGACAATAGGGGAGGCCATAAAAGGGCTTGGAGTTTTTATCTATTGCTTTAAACAAAATATTCCAAGAGCAACATTTCCTCACATGCCTTGCCTCTTAAATCACATCATCATACTCTGAATCATCTCATTAGCTTATTAGAAAATGAACTGATCAAAACAGGATGCTCTGTTGAAGCTGTTGCCTGACCAGCACTGAACAGAACAGTATCTTCACCTCCTACACGCAGTTACATATAATATTTTTTGCAGTAAGGGATCACAGGAGCCATCCTGGGCAGTCTGGCTTGGAAGGATTCCTTCATCATCAATTTCTCCATTTTATTATTTTTATTGTAAGTACTGGATTAGCCATTCAATCAACTACTTCTTTAGTCTCCACCATCTAGTAGATGTGTGACTTGTAACACAAGACATTTAGAAGGAACCAAGTTAGTGGTTGACAGAGAAGATAAGGAGTGGTTGATATTTCTGTCCTTCCTTGAAATACGATGATATTTTATTATAGTTGCCTCACAATAATACTGAACGCTCCCTTCTGCCCTCATAATTTGTGAAGAATTAATCCTAGATGTCCATTTCAGCCAAGGATGGGGCTTTTGCCTGGATGATGTTCCCAAGAAGAAAGATCTAAAGCCACCATTCATTGCACCTGGAGTCATTTATGATGTTCATCACCAGTGTCAGTTACAGTATGGACCCAATGCAACGTACTGCGATCAAGTGGATGTAAGTTCATGTATCCAGTATTGATGGGGATTGTCATTTAAAAGAAAACAGGAATGATCATATTTTATTCTTACATTATTGATATAGCAAATCTCTATACCTATACCACTCACCTGCGTAACTCTGGTTTACAACAAAACCATACAATCATATTAAAAAACGTAGTTCGGGGTGAAATGCTCCCGGTTCAGACCGGATCACCCAATCCAGTAGCGATGGCAGCGCGTGGTTCGGAGAACTGGTAGCAAAAATCCCTGCGCCCCCCCCCCCCGCCCAGCTGAGCCGCGCAATCATCAAAAATGCTTTTCAAAGCATTTTTTTCTGCAACCTCTTGGCTGAAGAGGTGGTAAAAAAAATGCTTCGAAAAGTCTCTGACGATCCCAGCTGAGTTGCCTGATCGGCAGAGAGGCATTTTTTAAAAAGCCTCTCTGACGATCCCAGCTGAGTTGCCTGATCGGCAGAGGCTTTTCAAAGCATTAGAAAAAATGCTTTGAAAAGTTAAAAAAAAAAAATTGGCCATGCCCACCCAGTCACATTACCACCCCCCAAGCCACACCCACAGAACCGGTAGTAACAAATTTTACATTTCACAAAAACAAAATTAAATACAGACTCAAAACAAAATTAAAAATGGAGCAGTTGAAAAGTTGAAAAGGTGGAGGGAGCACTTTCAAAAGAACCAGCCCAACCATGCTTAGTACTAAAGAATATGAGCCAGCGGTGTGCTGCAGCCGCCAAAAAAAAAAGCCAATGCAATCCTAGGCTGCATTAACAGAGGGTTAGAATCAAGATCACGTGAAGTGGTAATACCTCTGCATAATGCCTTGGTAAGGCCACACTTGAAATACTGCATCCAGTTTTGGTCACCATGAGGTAAAAAAAGATGGTTTTTTTAAAATTTTATTTTATTTCGAATTTATATACCGCACCTTCTCCCGAGGGACTCAGGGCGGTGTACAGCCAGATAAAAAAACATACAATACAAACTTTAAAAACAATTAAAAAGATATATATTAATTTGGCCCCAATTTAAAATAACAAACCAATTAAAAATATTTAAAAAATATATTAAGCCAGCCCGGCTTGCTGAAAAAAGAAAGTTTTAAGGGCACGGTGGAAGGCACCGAGGTCTTGGATTCTCCTTATCTCTGGGGGCAGCTGATTTCAGAGGGTAGGTGCCCCCACAGAGAAGGCCCTCCCCCTGGGGGTCACCAGCCTATATTGTTTGGCTGATGGCACCCCGAGGAGGCCCTCTCTGTGGGAGCGCACAGGTCGATGGGAGGCCGTCGGTAGCAGCAGGCGTCTCGAAGATAACTTGGTCCTATGCCATGGAGCACTTTAAAGGTGATAACCAACACCTTGAAGCGCACCCGGAAGACCACTGGGAGCCAGTGCAGCTCACGCAGGAGAGGTATTGTATGAGAGCGCCATGCGGCTCCCGTGACTACCTGCGCGACCGCATTCTGGACCAGTTGGAGCCTCCGGGTGCTCTTCAAGGGGAGCCCCATGTAGAGAGCGTTGCAGTAGTCCAGGCGAGAGGTGACGAGGGCATGAGTGACTGTGCACAGGGAATCCCGTGAGATTCTAGAAAGAGTGCAGAGAAGAGCAACCAAATGATTAGGGGATTGTAGGCTAAAACATATAAAGAACGGTTGCTGGAATAGGTATGTCTAATTTAATGAAGAGAAGGACTGGAAGAACAACTTGCTCGCTGAAGTTGTGAATGCTGCAACACTGTAAGTTTTTAAGAAGAGATTGGACAACCATTTGTCTGAAATGGTATGTAGTCTCCTGCCTGAGCAGAGGGTTGGACTAGAAGACCTCCAAGGTCCCTTCCAACTTTGTTATTCTGCCATGAATACCACATCACATAGAAATGTTGCTTCAGAACAGTGGATTCCAAACTCTGAAGCAGAAATTTCCTGTTGCTTGTGAAATGTAGCAATTGTATAGCCAATACAAATGCCAGATTAGAGGAAGCCAGTGTCTTGAGTAAAATATGCCTACATATCTGCCATAGGATACATGTGACCCAGGGGTGAAATGCTCCCGGTTCGGACCAGATCGCCTGATCCGGTAGCGATGGAGGCGAGTGGTTCGGAGAACCGGTAGCAAAAATCCCTGCCCCCCCCATGCCCAGCTGAGCCGTGCAATCATCAGAGGCTTTTTTTCTTTTAAATGCCTCTGGCGATCCAAGCTCTAACGATCCAAGCTGAGTTTTTTAAAAACCCTCTGCCGATCAGGCAACTCAGCTTGGATCGTCAGAGCCATTTAAAAGAAAAAAACTTTTGAAAGCATTTTTTTACAACCTCTTTGCCGAAGAGATTGTAGAAAAAATGGTTTTAAAAGTTTTTTAAAAATGGCCACGCCCACCGAGTCACATTACCCCCCACCAAGCCACGCCCACAGAACCGGTAATAACAAATTTTAGATTTCACCACTGATGTGACCTAAAGTGGATGAATAACAGGGCGTCTCAGGGTTAGAGATAGTCTCTCAAAGGTATTTTAAAAGAAGGTAGAAGTAATGAAACATACGGCAAATATTCAGTTTAACTGTTTTTATCCCTTTTAATTATATATGAATTTAAAATAACATAATGCAGGTAGTCCTCAATTTATAACCACAATTGAACCCAAAATTTCTGTGGCTAAGAGAGCTATTTGTTAACTGAATTTTGCTCCACATTACGACCTTCCTTGCCACATTTGTTAAGTGAATCACTGCAGTTGTTAAGTTAGTAACATGGTTGTTAAGTGAATCTGGCTTTCCCATTTTGCTGGTCAAAATGTTGCAAAAGGTGATCAGTACACTGCAACCGTCATAAATATGAATCAGTTGCTAAGCATCTGACTTTTGATCACATGACCTCGGATATTCACACTTGGCCCTAAGAGTAAAAAACAGTCACAAGTCACTTTTTTTCAGTGCAGTTGTGACTTCAAAGGGTCACTGAACGAAGTGTTGGAAGTCAAGGACTGCCTATATTTTTTACCTTTTCACATGTTAGGTTATATATATGTCCAGATGGAGTCTGATTTAGTTCAAATCTGAACTATTTAACCATCATGTAAAACGATAATGTAAGAAAATATTTGAAAATCCTTCCCTAGCAATATTTTTGGATAATTTTAAAAAACTGGAAAAGGGCATATGGGAAAAAATGAAAAAGAAGATATTTGTTTTCTTCCTACAGTTTTTCGGTGCTTTCAGCTCCAAATGGGACATTGAGCCTTGAGTTGATGGCCAAGATGGGGGATTTTCCCATTAATCCTACCGACTTGAACTAGTAGCCTAAAGTCATAGAAAGCATTCCCTTGATGTCACAGACTGCAGTACAAAATTGGCTTTGACAATTACATTATCTGTTTCTTTGTGCCTTTTAGCTACTGCCTTATTTCCTCACAAACTCCAGCTGTACGAAATAGCTTTGCAGGTAATAAAATAGCAATAAAATAAAATTATATTTTAAAGCTCCATTAAGTGATGTGACATTCCAAAATTCTACCATTAAATAATAAGAAAAATATGCAATCATTACATACTGATGTCAGCCCTTCAAAGAAGACTAAGTCACCAGAGTTATAAATGAGAGGTATAAATGTTAATATTACTTTATTAAAAGCTTATTGTAACATAATCTTCCAAGTCTGAATGTTCTTTCTCCCTCGATTTATCTTTATTTTCATGTGAACCAGAGAGGGACTGAGGCACTTACCCAATTTTTTTTGTCCCAGATTTGGATTTTTTTTATCTTAACTCTTGTCTTGGCTGCAGCTCTTGCTCTGATCCATAACATTATTCCTATTGCCTGTCATGCACCCTTAGGAGTCTGAATCCGAGAGGGAAGACGAACAGCTGACAGAGAGTGAGAGAATGACTCTGTTGGCTGTGGAGGAAACTGTGGAAGGGCAAAGTCAGGTTGGGCAGAGCAGGGGAGAGGTAGAACAAAGAAGAGGAGGTTCAGATGAAGACCAAGGCCCACCCCCTCCTCATCCTAGGTCACGCAGGGAAGAATGGAGAAGAGAGCAATGTGGGTTGTGTGGCTTACGAGGGAGGAAAGGGCCCCGATTCCAGTGGTGAAATCCAATTTTTTTTACTACTGGTTCTGTGGGCGTGGCTTGGTGGGCAGGGCTTGGTGGGTGGGGCAGGGGAAGGATACTGCAAAATCCCCATTCCCACCCCGCTCTGGGGCCAGCCAGAGGTGGTATTTGCCGGTTCTCCAAACTATTCAAAATTTCCGCTACCAGTTCTTCAGAACCTGCTGGATTTCACCCCTGCTCGATTCCCTTCACAAGGTACACCTGGAGATGGAGTTTAAAGGAGAGGCAAATGAGGGGGGGGCGGTTGTCAGGAACAAACGCTGAGTTCATCTTGTGTTAACTGCTTTATCTGAGTTCCTGGCATCCTCCCAACTGGTTTGATTTACTGCCATGCTACTTCATTTCTGGAACTCCTTATCTTGCTTGCCCTGCCGGATTAATTACCTTATCTTGCCTTGTTGGATTTATAGTTGGAAGTTTTCTGTTTATAACACTTGGACTGGAGTATTTTTAGCCAATGGCTGTTACAGTTTTGTGGGAGAGTTCTTCTCCAGACCGGAGAGTAAATGGGACATTGGGGGCAAAGTTGGAGTTAATAAGTTATCTCCACACAAGGGGATGCCTCTGGCTCTTGAGTTGGTCTCCCAAAGGCCTTCCATAAGAGTCAAAGGGGGGAGAATGGCAGCCATTCTTGTCTCAGGAGTGGGTCTGTCCCAAAGAATGCCCAATGTTGAGGTCTCTCCCACCACATCTGCTGGTGATAGGAGCCATTAGTAAGTGCTGTCTGGACATCTGGATTGGATAGGCAGAGGCTCTTTGGAAAATATGGTCTCTTAGATATCCAGGTATTGAGCAGGGGTGGGATTCAAAAATTTTAGCAACTGGTTCTCTGCCCAGTTGCTGGATGGGCATGGCCATGGTGTATGGGGCCTATTCGGCTTCCTGCACTACGGTGGTGGTGGGGGGGTTGCCCTCTCCAAGTTCTAGAGGCTTTCCTCAAGCCTCTGGGAAGGCAAAAATGGCCTCCCCTGGGCTCTGGAGGCCCTCTGGAGGCCAAAAACGGGCCTGTTTCCAGACTTCCGGAACTTCTGGGAGACCCATTTTTCGCCCTCCCAGAGCCTCCACACGGACACTGCACTTACCTGGCATCCAAAATAGGCCATGTGGAGACTCCTGAGAAGGGCGGGGCAGGGTGGGCAGGGCCAGACAGTCCTCGCAACTACCGGTTCAGCGAACCAGATGTAAAATTAGCATCTGGTTTCCCTAAACCAGTCCGAACGGGCTGAATCCGACCCCTGGTCTTGAGCCATATAGGGCTTTGATGATAGCAATCAGGCTACAACAAACCTGAATTGTACTTACAAATACAGTAGTTCCAGGGCAGTTCCATTAGTAGTGATGTCATATGGTAGAACCAAAATCACTTAGATTTCTGACTGGTCTTCAAGAGCAGTTCTATTTGAAGTTAATTACAGTAACTTTAAACCTCAGCAATATTAAACTGCGAAGGCTTCAACTGCCAGAATTCACTGGGGAACATTGCAGTAGCCTAGCTGGGAAATGACAAGGGTGACTCACTCAGGAAAACTCGTTTGCCGTTTATAATCCTCTGCTTCCTACAAAAGATTTTCTGTGCTGTTCTGCAATAATGGGAAAGCATTAAAACCAAAATTAAAACCCAGTGGAAGACATATTTATTAATGTTATTATTATGTGTGATTTATTCACACCGTTCTAAAATCTGAGACTACTTTAGATTATACAGGAAATAGCGGGGTTTGTGTGTGTGTGAAAGATGCTTAATAAATCAGCGTAGCAGATTAGTGAAGGTAGAAAGCAATTTCCTCAAGGACTTGGCAAAGTATTAGAACTAAATAAGCAACAAAATAACGACGACTGTACAATGAGCAAAGAATCCTTAACATTTGTGTGCATGGTGGAAAACAAAACATTTTGATAGTAGAAATTGCTGGCATGTGATCAGCAATTTCTACCATCAAGATGTTTTGTTTATATATATGTAATATACATATAACATTTATTAGAAAAGTGATTGATACCAATTGAAATAGGGTAGTATCAATTCTTTGCTGTTTCGTCTTATTTCAGTAGAGATGAGGTCTATCCATACTGGATTATTACACCACAATTAGTTGAGACCTGTGTCAGCTCATCACTTTGAAGTTGAGGAAATTGTAAGAATTGAACATTTTACAGTTTACCTTTTTTTTTTAAACTTTCATAAAAATAACTACTTCTTAATTTCTTCCCAAATTTCTAGGCAGCTAGATCGCACACTGCTACTTCTTTCTCTCACCAAATCCTTGGGAGCAGCCTTAAGGCAAGCCAAATTGTAACGGCCTTCACTTCTGCTTCCTTAAAATGCTATCACTGTCTTAACCTGACCTGTTATAGGTTTGGCAACAGTACAAATGCCTTCCTTTTCTGGAGGACTGCCTGTCTCTTTGGATGCCGTCTAGGGTTTGCCCAGATTTTTGTGGTCCAGGGTTGAGAGCCACCGTATGCCAAAAAAAGAACTGGTAGAAGGGAGGAATCTAGTATCTTGATGACTATGTTGAAGACAAGATAAAAATTTTATGCCTGCTATTTTTGACTAACCTACTCTGAGAGAGGAAAAAACCCATCAAATTTCTCTTATAGGTCAGGGCCTGGAATTAGGAGCTGAGGGTGTAGGCGAGACAAGGAATCCCTTCACTGAGGAAGCAAGCACAGCATTTCAAAACAAGCAAACAAAATTCTAGCTTAAATTTGTTTCAGCTACAATACTGCCGAGCCAGAACTTCCCAACTTGTTGTTATTGTTGGAAAGGGTCGTTCCAGATTCCTTTCAAACTGATGTAAAATCTTGATGCAGAAATACCCCCTATTTTCCATTCTGCTTAGCTTAGATTCAGTGATTTAATGGGATGAGAAATGTTTTCTCCCCACCCCACCCCTTTCCGTTAATGAGATGTAAATACCTTCATGGACTTTTCTAGATTCCCCAGAGTTCAAGAAACTATGTTTGCTGCTCAACAGGAAATGAGTATAGGATTGGAACAAAATGCCATGTTTTCTCTCCTGGGAGTTTATTCTGTTATTCATTTAATAAATCTACCAAACGACTAAGTTTAAGAAATAATTGTCTCCTGTGCAACTCCTGAATGAACTGAAAAGCACGGATATCTTCAGACTTCAAAAAAGTCAAAATGGTGACTATGATTGCACAATCAAAGACACCCCCCCAGCCCTTTTAATGTTTATTGCACATGTTGCATGCATGTAATAAAGGGCCAGGGCTTGGAGTATACAATCACATCTGTTATTGTGACTTTTTTTGACCCCAGTTGACAAGGGAAGAACGCTTGGTGCAATCAGTGGTGGGTTGCTACCGGTTCACATCGGATCAGGCGAACCAGTGATGGCAGTGGTGGGAGGCTCCGCCCACCCGCCCGGATGATTCTGCACATGTGCAGAAGCTTTTGCGCATGTGCAGAAGCATTGCGCGAGTGCGCGAGCGCCCATGAGCAAACCGGTAGTGAAGCGAACCCGATTGCACCTCTGGGTGCAATACTGCTTCATTGTTCTTTGTTCCTACATTTATCAAAGGATAATCCATGACATTCTCTTGGGATTCCATAAAGTGTTTATTGATGTGTGTTATTATTACATTTCCAATTATTGTTCTTTCAGAATATTTGCCAGACCTTGTGGTGCTTTGTGAAGGGTTCTTGCCGTTCCAAACTGGATGCCGCAGCAGATGGGACAAGATGTGGGGAGAATAAGGTGATGATAAGATGGAGAAGACAAAAATGGGAAAGGTAGCTGGGTCTCTGTCTTATTTTTATTAGTGCTGCGAGAATTCAAGCCAAATCCTGGTGGCCTCTTAGGCAACATGTTCTTTTCCTGCGTCTAAACTTTGCTTTCGTTCAACATTTCTCCCAACAATATCTCTGCTGTGAGTTCAATCTGAAATCTTGATCCTCGTCTGAGTATTGTCATTTTCTTCACTGGTGAAGCAAGACCTTTGCTCTCTTTTTAAACCGGTGCCAGATCCTCCGTCCTCCTGTAGGAATATAAATTCCTCATTGTTGCAGATCAGGGATGTGTTTTTGATATGCCTTGTAGCAGTGACAGCGCAATGAAAAAGTTTCAGAATCTCACCTCTGTTCCAAGCATTTATTTGTGTCAAATGCAGAAGTATTTATTTTTGCAATATAAATGGTGCGTTCTCCCACCAGTGTTCTTTTCTTTGCCTTTTCTAACTTTTTCCCCTAGTTCATCCTTTTTATTGCAATAACTGACTCTCCCCTATCTCTGGAAGATCCAAGTTTGTTTTATACCTGAGCAGATGAATTTTAATACTTTGTGTCTACGGGATTGTTCACATAAAATATTCAATAGGTTTTTCCACAGGAACTTTGATTTATTCAGAGTCAATGGATGCGGACTATTCTTATGCCAAGCTATGCCTTCATTTTATAATGAATAGAGTCATTTCTCTAAGATGTCTTTCAGATACATTCAAATTTCCAAGTGGCCGCAGCCAGGGTAATTCTAACACATCAGAAGGACAGCAGGTTAGGAGAGACTCATGCACACATATGTAGTTTGGCAGGTTACATTTCAGAACATTTTATTTTTAAAATTAGATCAATTCATCTTGTACTGAAGAATAGAATTACATGAACAGAACTTTTAACAGTTGCAGAAGGCTTGAGTACCTTTGAGAACAGGGCTGAACTTTTTCAAAAGACATTTTGGAAGGAAGGAAGGAGAGGGAGGGAGGGAGGGAGGGAGGAAGCAAGGAAGGAATTTGACTTACCCAAGGGAGGTGAAGTGAGGGGAGGGACAGAGGGAGGGAGGAAGGGAGGAGTTTGATTTACCCAAGGGAGGTGAGGTGAGGTGAGGTGAGGTGGAAGGAAGGAAGGAAGGAAGGAAGCAAGCAGGGAGGGAGGGAAGGAAGGAAGGAAGGAAGGAAGGAAGGAAGGAAGGAAGGAAGGAAGGAAGGAAGGAAGGAATTTTACCAAAGGCTGTGGAGGTGAGGTGAGGTAAGGTGAAGAGTGGAAGGAAGGAAGGAAGGAAGGAAGGAAGGAAGGAAGGAAGGAAGGAAGGAAGGGTTCCTGCGAGCTGAGTTGCAACTGTCTATGAAGATTCTCAGTCATCCAGGTCATGGTTGTCCCAAAGGTGTTTTTTTCAAGAGGCAACTGGACCAGAAAGTTCAGTTGCCCCTTGAAAAAAGCACCTTTGGTTGTCTTACAACTAAACAAATTGTTGAATAATATATCTTTTCCAAAATTTTCTGGCCACAAAAGTCTATGTCCTAACCACTCTATACACTTTATCCAATTGATTATGCAAAGTCTGTAACTGGATCTCCCATTTTCTTTTCAAATCCCTAACTTCGTCAAAAGTTTGAGGGAGCGGATCGCATCCCTCTTCCACCATCCAATCTGCTATGAGCTAGGACAGGGCGAGGAAACCAACAGGCACAAGAAGGATTCTATAATCCTTTTCCCATCTGCTCAGGCAGCAATTCCTCTGGATCAGCATGGCACACCTCACACCTCTCCAGTTGCATATAAATAGTTGGGCTCAACCTTGGCTTTCAATGAAAGATGAATTCTCTTAGGCCAGTTACCAAGGAGCTGCTGTGGTAGACATGTATTTTATATGCCTAACTGGATTTCCTCCCCTCCTGACCAATTGCATTTGCTGCTTTATTATTCAGTGGTGCTTCTCAGGTGAATGTATAACGGTGGGCAAGAGCCCTGAAGCAATTAATGGCGCGTGGGGATCCTGGTCACCCTGGTCACACTGTACTCGGACATGTGGAGCTGGCATTCAGGCAGCTGAAAGACACTGCAATAACCCAGAGTAAGAACATTGAAGATTTCAATCTCTTTATAACCTAACAGTCTGGTTCCAGAGTACTTAAAGAATGGCTGCATTGAAGGGTGGCATTTCCTGTCTTTGGAGTGATCTCTATAGAGCAGGGCTGTCAAACTTGTGGACCATGGGCTGGATGCGTCATGCGCTGGCCACAGCCATGCCCGGTTTAGCGAAAGGGAAAAAAGTCCCAATACGTTACGCAACACCACTGTGACGATGTGAGTTTGACACCCCTTGCTATACAGATTCTTTTCCAAGGTTTCATACAGCAACTGTAGCCTTTTGCAAGAGTCAGTTATCTTTTCTCAGCATGGAGGAAAAAAGGGAGAAAGAAGAAATATATAAAAATGAAATATATGAAAAAATTAGAGAGAAAATGCCTAGAAAAAAGATGAAATACAAATCTAAGAAACAAGCAGAAACTGAAAAGTTTCTTGGAAGTAATTTGCTGTTGTGAAAAATGAAGAAAGAGATTATAGTTTGATTCGGAAAGCATCAGTGTGGTACAGTGGTTGGAATCTGTTAATGTTTATTGTATTTTATTTATTCATGTGTATTCCACCTTTATTATTTTTACAACTAACTGAAGGTGGCAATGATATCCAACACACCTTCCTCCTCCTATTTTCCTCACAAGAACAACCCTGTGAGGACAATTAGGCTGAGAGAGAGTGACTGGCCCAAGGTCATGTCAGATTAACGCAAGAAGTGACAGTTTTGGAAGATATTTTCAAATTTGTATCAATACCAGCAGTTCTTATGGCAGTTTTAGGAACCAGTGAGTTTAACTTCCTATTCAATGTAATTTCTTTTCTAAATTTATCTCACAGTGTTGCTGTGAGGATAAAATGAGAGGCAAGAGTTCTGTATACATTTGCCTCTTGGGAAAGAATGAAAGGATGAAAAAAAAGTTTGATTTCTTTATTTAAAAGTGACTTCTTCATTTTTAGACCACAGTTTGGAGGGAAGTATTGCACTGGGGAGAGAAAGCACTATCGTATGTGCAATGTTAAAGCGTGCCAAAAGTCGACACCGAATTTCCGACAAATGCAGTGCAGTGAGTTTGATACAGTTGCCTACAAAAATGAATTCTACCAATGGATTCCAATTTATAATACAGGTAAAAAAGGGAAAATAATCTGCTAAGAATCTGGATAATAATCTGGTTAACAATCTAGATTTCGTTTAGATGAGTGTTTTCTTGTCAATACAGGCACAGTTTATGAAAATACCTCAAAAATATTGGCACTAAAGAATGGTTCCTTTAGGAGAAGGATACTGCTACTACAGGTAGTCCTTGACTTGCAAACTCAATGGAGCCCAACATTTTTGTTGCAAAGCAAGACAATTATTTAGTGAGTTTTGCCCCATTTTACGATCTTTCTTGCCACAGTTGTTAAATGAATCAGCAGTTGTTAAGTGAACCTGGCTTCCCTGTTGACTCTGCTTATCAGAAGTTCGCAAAAGGGGATGAAATGAACCCTGGACTCTTCAACCATCATAAATACAAGCCAGTTTCCAAGCATCTGAATTTTGATCATGTGACTGTGGGGATGCTGCAATGGTTGTAAGTGTGAAAAATGGTCATAAGTCACTTTTTTCAGTGCCGTTGTAACTTCGAACAGTCGCTAAACGATCTGTTGTATGTTGAGGACTATCTGTAGTATAGAGCGGACTACAGTTGAGGTTGCTCCTTCCAGCCAATAATCCACTCCTTCCTGGGGTGGATTCTTAGATCCAATGGCTAAAATGCCTTCCTGGGGCAGCTCTTCGCCACTACCCATTTTGGTTATTCTTTCTTTCTTTCTTTCTTTTTTGGTTCTTCCAAAAGAACCAAAAGCTTTGGCAAAGCCAGCAGTCTTTCCTTTTCTTTGCTTTTTTTACTAAAAAGGAATATAATTCTGAGAGCAACTTCAGTATTTCGAGATACTCTGTACATTCCTGTATTTTGGGTTGCTGACTTCAAAGGAGGAGAGGAAAAAAAAAATATATTGACATAAGGGGCACTGAAAAGAAATGTGAGTAGGAGGCAAATTAATGAATATGAAGGATAAAAGAAAATTACATGCTTGCAGCGGAGTGCATAAATGCCTAAAAGCTAATGTTGGGGCTTAAGCTAAAATTAACACTTCCTGTCCAGTAACAAAAAGAAAAAACAGTTTATGACTTCTACTGGTCAATTATTGTATTTTCAAAGTATGGACATTTAAGCAGTAAAAGTTAAAATTCTCAGTCTGGTTTCCCGCTAATAATGTTTTTGGCCCACAAACGCAGCTGAGAATAAATAGTTTTGGAAGGTATTTACAAATATGTGTAAATATCAGCAGCTGTTATGGCAGATTTAGGAACCAGCATGGCAGTTCCATTATATAAAATGACTCATGCCAATTGTTGGTTTTGTGAGGTAAACCTGACTCTCTTGCTCCATCCCCTATCTACCTAAGGGCTATGTTGTCTCTTATCTGAGAGCTCCCTTGGCAACATCTCTGCCTAATCTCCTTCCCTCTCTTGTGTCTTCAGTTGGAACTGCCACTATCTGAGTCCCAAGGTCTTCCTCACATACCATTACAGTGGTACCTTGGTACTCAACTGCTTAGAAACTCATCAAATTTGGTACTCAATGCATTTCGATGTGAAAATTTTGTCCCGGTATTCATTGCTTGATTGGTATTCAACGCACAAGCTAGAACTTGTCAGTGTTCGGTTGCCTTGTGACTCACTACATTATTCCTTATGGGCAAACTTTGATTGTATTCATTGATTTTGGCATTCATCGCACCTCCTGGACCCAATTAAGGATGAGTACCAAGGTACAACTGTACACCAATTTTCCTGTATCTGTTGTAAAGTTTCGGTTAGGAACTGCAAAAAGACTGGAACGTAAATTCATCTGACTTTAGTTGGGTGAGTCACTGAAATATTAATTTTTACAATCTTTAATATTAATATTATTCAATATTAATTTTGAATCTTTAGTATCAAATGAAAGATCCTATCAAAGCCTTACAATGGGACTTTAAAATATGCTTTATTGATATAATATTTGGGATTTCTCCTAGCTAATCCCTGTGAGCTGCAATGCCTTCCTACAAACCACCATTTTTCAGAGAGGATGTTAGATGCTGTAATTGATGGTACACCTTGCTTTGAAGGAAACAGCTACAGAGACGTCTGCATTAATGGCATGTGTAAGGTATTGGGTATGTTTCCTTCTCTGGAATCTTCATGGGACTTCAGATTTGCAGACTTGCAAAAATGAGCCAGGCAGATTGCAGCTTTATATACTGATGCCAGTTTGTATGTCAGTGGTGGGAAACGTTTTGGTGGCCAAGTTATTATCTGGGAAGTGGATGATAAGTCAATATGATGGGTGGTGGTAATTGGTGCTTTTCTTTATCTCAATGTCTTTTTTATTTCAACATGGGTGGTAGGGAGATATCATTGAAGACCATACCTAGAGTACTGCATCCAGTTTTGGTCACCACACTATAAAAAGGATGTTGAGACTCTAGAAAAAGTGCAGAGGAGAGCAACTAGGATGATTAGGGGACTGGAGACTAAAACATATGAAGAGCGGTTACAGGAACTGGGCATGGCTAGTCTAGTGAAGAGAAGGACCAGGGGAGCATGATAGCAGTCTTCCAATATTTGAGGGGCTGCCACAGAGAGGAAGGGGTCAAGCTATTTTCCAAGGCACTTGAAGGTCAGACAAGGAATAATGGATGGAAACTGACCAAGGAGAGATTCAACCTAGAAATGAAGTGGAACTTTCTGACAGTGAGAACAATCAACCAATGGAACAGAAGTTGCCTTCGGAAGTTGTGGGAGCTTCATCACTTGAGACTTTCAATTTGTCTCAAGTGATGATGACTTTCAATTTGTCTTGGATTGCCATTTGTCAGAAATGGTGTAGGGTCTCCTGCTTGAGCGGGGGGTTGGACTAGATGACCTATAAAGTTCCTTCCAACTCTGTTAATCTGTTAAACTTTGGCAATTTTACTGTCAAGATTCAGCAAGCTCTGGAGATTGAAAGTTGCCCATATCAGCTTCTTGGCTCTTCCTGGATAAACTACCCAAACTTACACATTTCTGCTTCAAAGATGGGAGACAGTCTAAGAATAGGATTGGGTGGCCAGGATCACAAAATCAGACATTCCTAAAAAGTCTGAAAGGGGCGTGCATAAGAGCACCAGCGTGCCTACCGTCCCTGTCCTAATGTTCCCTTTAATTGTACTCATTTTATGTATTCAATTCATGCTTATATTTATATATATTATCTAATATGTACTTGACAAAATAAATAAATAAATAATAATTTTAAAAAAGCTGAGGATCATTGAAAGATAAGGTATTCTAAATGCTGGGACTGTATCACTGTATTTGGGTGGAGAAAGGATCAGAAGTGAAAGCTGTTGGCAAGATAACATACTTCATATGATCACAGTGCTTAATCCCAATTAGTGGACTAATATGCATACTATGGTTTCCAATGGAGACAGCCCAGCAACTAATTTAGAGAGTGCCAAATATAGTTACAGATATTCCAATGAATTTATCATTGGTAGGAGGATTGAAAAACTGAAAATTTGAGGACTTATGTCAATGAAATATTTAGTATCAATAATGTGGCACATAAAGCTGATCTTAATATCTCCATAATCATGATGGGAAGATGTCTTAATAGCTGTTTAAGTAGATCATCGCTTCATCCTTTCTTTGAAATTCATTAAGGAAAATAGATTTCATAGGAATTGGTCCACAGGGCATAATCAGATATTTCTAATTGATAGTCTAACTCTCAAAACCATTTGACATTGCTTGTTCAGTGGAGGTGGATTTAATTAGATTTGACAGATTGGATGGTTTTAAGAACGGGACGGGAGTTTTCTTTCGCACCAATAAATTGCAGAAAACTCTAGTGGTGCAAATCGTTAAGCCTTCTCCGCTTCATGATGTTCCATTTCACTCACTAAGTTTTCAATGGCCCCCAAATAATGGGAAGGTTGAGTTGAAGCTCCATACCCATCAAATGTTACCCATGTCTGCTGAAAGTGGCAAAATATTTTATGCTAGCTGTGAGAAATTCTATTCTTCTAATTTCCCAGACTAGCATTTTCCCGATGACCCAGAGAGGGTGTCTGCCTATTTTTGTCATTGCAAAACCACCATAATAGTTCTAATAATAATACACACATTATTTTAGATGATGACTGTCAAACAGAGTAAGAGTTTCAGACTTCTTAATGGAACTGCAGAAGCATAAATCTGGAAGGCAGTTTATAATAGCAATAGCACTTATATACCGCTTCATAGTGCTTTTACAGCCCTCTCTAAACGGTTTGCAAAGTCAGTATATTGCCCCTAACAATCTGGGTCCTCATTTTACCAACCTCAGAAGGATGGAAGGCTGAGTCAACCTTGAGCTGGTGAGACCCGAACTGCCAAACTGCTGGCAGTCTGTGATCAGCAGAAGTAGCCTGCAGTCTACTGCACTCTAACCACTGCGCTACCGCAGCTCATATAATAATCATAAGTTTATTTTGTATGATTTCAAGTTGTGATATTGATAATGCTTACTGAGAATAAAAGGCATTCTCTTAAGGTCAACCCATAACTGTTCTTTGGTTTGAAATAATGACTTGACATCTGAATAATCTAGTAATTGACACAGACTACTAATTCAAGTCTTTATGAACAAATGCTAATGAGTCAAGAAATATCTCACAGCTGGTAAATTATTAATATAAAACCTGCTATATTGGACAGTCTAATACTTCGAAATTTCAGGGTCCAGTCATTAAACCAATCAACAAACGCTCAGAACTTATTAGGCAAAACTTGAAAGGTTTTGTTGATTTTTATCCCTAAAAGTATATATGATCTGACATGAGTAAGCTAACATTTCCTGCATTCTTATCTGAAAGCTGATGAGAGATTAGCTTCGCAACCTAAAGTCGATTTCATGTGAAGGCATCAACATTTTGCAAGTCTACCCTTTTTTAAAATTAAGTTTAAAATTTTATGGCGGCCATCCTGGGATATCATAGGAAGATACCCCGTGGCTTTTTTTATTAACTCTGACCATATAATATTCCTGGAAAGATGAAAGAAAGAAACTGTGTGGAGATAGCATTATACTTCTGACAGTATATAGCCAGTATAGTCCTCACAAACCCAGTCTGAAAAAGCCTCAAGAAAATGAATGGTTCTCTTGTAAATCTCTTAGGATTTAATGAAAATGTTTGAAGCTGCAGATCACTAGAAAGCCAAATATCTGTTCAAAGAGAAAACAATACTTTGGCCCTCTTGAAAAAGTACAAGAACATAATAGCAATAGCAATAGCACTTAGACTTATATATTGTTTTACAGTGCTTTACAGCCCTCTCTAAGCGGTTTACAGAGTCAGCATATTGCCGTTAACAATTTGAGTCCTCATTTTACCGACCTCGGAAGGACAGAAGGCTGAGTCAACCTTGAGCCTGGTGAGATTTGAACTGCCAAATTGCAGGCAGCCGGCAGTCAGCAGAAGTAGCCTGCAATACTGCACTCTAACCACTGTGCCACCATAAGAATTTGTCTTCTTTTTGAAAAGGTCTTTCAGTAGCATTTTTTTCATTCTACTGTGAAAAGTGAGACCCAGAGTGATATAATGGTTAAAGTGCTGGATTAGGAGTAGGGTGACCCAGGATCTAGCCTTTCCTTAATTATGGAAGCCACTTTGGATCAGTCACTCCCTCTGATGAGAGCCAGGTTCAGCAACTAGGGTCTATGACAGGGGTCAGCAACCTGCGGCTCTGGAGCCGCATGTGGCTTTTTCATCCCTCTGCTGCAGCTCCCTGTTGCTAGTCAGCTCCACAATTGATAGGGCTTTTGGTTAAGACAGGTAGAGGAAAAAGGACGCCGTACTAGGAGGAAACTCTATGTTGGGAGAGCCAGACTTCCAGTCAGCAGAAGAAAAAGGATGCCACACTAGGTGGAGTCTCTATGGTGGGGGAACTGGACTTCTGGTTGGCTCCAGAATTGAATGGGGGGCTTCCAGTTAGGACCTTTGTGGCTCTTTGAGTGTTTAAGGTTGCCGACGACAATTCACCACAGCCAACTTGCTGCAAGACAACTTGCCAAAGCCATCTCACCACAGGACAACTCAGTGCAGGATAAGAATTACAGTAATATCAAAGAAATGGTGGAATAAAACCATTAAAAGAAAGGATGCAAAAGGAGGGACAGAACGAAATGTGAATGGCAAAAATTAAAATAATTTTTTATTTATTTTAAATAATTAAATGGAATTGTTAAATTGTCCCGCAGCAAGTTGTCCAATGGCGAGTTGGCCGTGGCGAGTTGACTGTGATGAGTTGGCTGCGGCAAGTTGTCCATGGTGAGTTGTCCATGCTGAATTGGCTGCAGCAAGTTGGCTGTGGCAGGTTGTCCCATTCCCCAGCAACTAACTGTCTGAAGAACAAAGCCCCTCATCGCATCATCCGCTGGTAGCTTCTCTATGTAAACCACATGAGTGCAATGCAAAGCAAGGAAAGCTAAACGATAAAACATTAAGAGCAACATATTGCATGAGAACGGATAGGGAAAAAGTAGGATAGTTTTTCTGCAGGATGCTACACAGCACCAATAAAAGAGAATATCTACAGCTCAGGGTCCTTGGTGCTCTCTGAGCTTCGTTGTTTAGTTGCAGACATGTCATTACCCAGACTAGGTAACCTCATCAGTGCTAACTTCACCATCAATGCTATACACATTTCTGAAGTTTGCTTGAGTTTGGCAAGTTCAAAATCAGGAAATAGAACAAGACCATCTGCAATATTTTCTCCAACATACTGACACGCTTGAACCGGTCAGAGTGGTGATGGACTTGGGAGAAAGTTATTTGTCTTCATCAGTGCTCCTTTAAACATATATGAGCTCCATGTCTATGGAGATTCTCAATCATCCGGGACATGGTTGTCCCAAAAGTGCTTTTTCAAAAGTTCAATTTGCCTTTTGAAAAAGTACCTTTGGGATATATATGAGCTCTATGGGTTAATAGGATGTAAAGTTAAGAGTAAAGTTATTTTTAATTTATATGTAATTGATACTTTAAAGAAAAAAATGCATGTATCAATCCTGACAAACACATGTAACATTTATTCTGAAAAAGGCTCTTTTTCTTTTAGACTGTTGGCTGTGATTATGAAATCAATTCCAACGCCACTGAAGATCAGTGTGGAGTTTGCTTAGGAGATGGATCTTCTTGCCAAACAGTGAAGATAACATTCAATCAGAGTCAAGGATTAGGTAAAGAAACTTTCCCTCACACTATCAATTCACTTTACCCATTTCAAATATTCTGCAGAAAAGTATGAGCAACTAGTCCAAGAAGAATAAATCTTGAAAAGGAGCCCAGAGGAAAGGTAGGAAAATAGTATTTCTATTTGTTTTTCTCCCCATCTTTCCAATGAGAGACTCGTATTCTTCATGAAAACCATTAATGTTCAAAAACATTAGATCAGGGGTCTCAAATTTGATTTCATTGAGGGCTGCATCAGGATTGTGTTTGACCTTGGGGTGGCGGTGGTGTGTGTGGCCAGAGTGGATGTAGCCAGCTTGACGTCACTTGTGTTGGGGGGGCCTGTGGTGGCCCCAGTGCTCTGCCAGCGAAAATAGATGCCTGAACTCTGTTTTCAGCTGCAACAACCTCCTGCAGTCCTCTGCCAGCAAAAAGAGAGCTCAGGGGGGCTGTGTGCGGCCCACGGGCCCCATTTTCGGCCATGAAGGCCTCCTGCAGCCCTCTGCCAGTAAAAACAGAGCTTGGAGCTCCGTTTTTGCTGACAGAGGGCTGCAGGAGGCCGATGCAGCCAAAAAAGGAGCCTGGGAGGGCCACATGGCCCTCCGAGCTATGTTTTCGCTGGAAGAGTTACCATGGGCCAGTCCGTTGCTGTTTATAGGTTGGCCCACTGGCCCAGATCTAAGCACCCTGTGAGCTGGATCCGGCCCACAAGCCTTGAATTTGACACCCCTGCATTAGATGTTCAAGAGCCTTGGTAGTGCAGTGGACTAAAGTGCTGTTAAGTAGCACTTAGCTGCCAGCTGACTGCAATTACTGCAAGTTCAAATCTCACCAGGCTCAAGGTTGACTCAGTCTTCCATTCTTCCGAGGTAGGTAAAATGAAGACCCGGATTGTGGGGGCAATAAGCTGACTTTGTATATAAAAGAACACCGCTTGGGGGGGGCCGAAAGCCCTACTAAGCAGATATATACAAAAGTAGGAAGGCTATTGCTTAACGCATTGTAAGCCTCCCTGAGTCTCCGGAGAAGGGCGGCATATAAATCGAACCAGTAAATAAATAAATAAATAAATAATTCAATTACAGGTAGTCCTTGACTTACAACCATTTGTTTAGTGACCGTTCGAAGTTACAATAGCACTGAAAAAAGTGACTTACAATCATTCCTCGCACTTATGACCATCACAGCAGCCTCACAGTCAGGCGATCAAAATTTAGGGGCTTGACAACTGGCATATATTTATGGCCAGTTGCAGTGTCCTGGGGGTAACGAGATCACCTTTTGCAACCTTCCCAGACAGCTTCCGACAAGCAATGGGGGAAACCAGATTCACTAACAACTGCATGGTTCACTTAACAACTGTAATGATCTGCTTAGTAACCACGGCAAAAAAAAAGGCTGTAAAAATGGATATGACGAATTTAACAACCACCTTACTTAGTAACAGAGAGTCTGGTTTCAATTGTGGTCGTATGTCAAGGATAACTACCTGTATTGTATAGTCCAGTGGTGAAATCTAAACCGGTTTGCTACAGGTTCAGTGGCCGCGCATGTGCACTGCTCGCCAAGCGCGCACTGCATGTGCAGTTCGCACCAAAAGGAGGCTTGGGAAGGTAAGTAGAACAGCTGGGGGGGGGGGAAATCAGCTGTGGCGTGCGATCATCAGAACCTTTTAAAAACTTTTTAAAAGCATTTTTACTACTGGTTCAGGCAAATAGGTAGTAAAAAATGCTTTAAAAATGTAAAAAAAAAAAAAAAAGCTTCCTACGATCACAGTTGTGCTGCGTGATCATCTGAGCCTTTCTTTTACTTTTTTAAAAGCATTTTTTTACTACCTGTTCACCCGAACCGGTAATAAAAAAATGCTTAAAAAGTAAAAAAAAATGTTCCGATGATTGCGCCTCGCTCAGCTGATTGTCGGAACTTTTTTTTACATTTTTTTACTACCGGTTCGTTGAACCGGTAGCATTTTTTACTACCAGTTCAGGTGAACTGGCCCGAACTGGTAGCATTTCGGTATAGTCCTGGTATGGACCTGGTATAGTCCATATAAATACATGGATCCAAAGACTTCTTTGCAGTGCAGGGATTCCAATAAATGAGAAGGGACAGAAACCATACTAGCTGAGTTGCCCCATTAGAAAAATTCTCAAATTCTGAAGAAGCATTCTTTTTATTTGGACTAATTAAAGGATCCTAAGTAAAGCCCTTCTCTCTTGGGTACCGGTAGTCCTCAACTTACAACAATTGAACCCAAAATTTCTGTTGTTAAGTGAGACATTTGTTAAGTGAGCTTTGACCCATGTTATGACCCTTCTTGCCATAGTTGTTAAGTGAATCACTGCAGCTGATAAACTAGTAACCTGGTTTTCAAGTGAATCTGGCTTCCCCGTTGACTTTTTTTGTCAGAAGGTCACAAAAGATGATCACAAGATCTTGGGACACAACAAAGGTCATAAATACGAATCAATTGCCAAGCATCTGAATTCTGACCACATGTTCATGGGGATGCTGCAAAGGTCACAACTATGAAAAACAGTCGTAAGCCACATTTTTCAGTGTCATTGTAACTTTGTCACTAAACAAACTGTTGTAAGTCGAGGACTACCTGTATATTATTTTGACTTTTTAAAAGTCGGCAGGTGCAGAGGGAATGAAAAGCTGGAAAATGTGAAGCAATGTTTTTAACGGTAGGTTCCTAACTATGAATCGAAAGGCATTTTGCAGCTATCTTCATTTATTCTCCCCCACCCCACCATGTGGATTTTCTATAGTTAGAGAAAGGATGGAACGCATGATGGGAGACGCTGAAAGAATTAGAGCAAAGGGCTCTACCCTTTGACCCTGTGCTATTTGGTGAACCAAGCACAGTAATTGCAAAATAAACGGCTTATTTCGAAATATTTCTGAAGGTCCAGTAGTCCAAGCAGTCAAAGAAATGCATTGAACGGAAGCATTCAGACAAGTATGAATAAAATTGCAGATCCAAATCTTATCACATTAAATGAAGTGCATTAAATTAAGCAAAGCTTTATTACTGCCCCATAATTATGATTAGGATTTATCTTCCAAGAGGGAAAAATAGCCCATAATTACTAGCTTTTAGAAATGGAGGGTCTTTGGCATTACTACTTTTCTCTTTTGACGAGGATTTGTCAGTTTCTATTTGCTGGTCTTTTGCAATTAGATTCTTGGATTATTATTATTATTATTATTATTATTATTATTATTACTACTACTACTACTACTACTACTACTACTACTTTATTCATAAACATGAAACTCAGTCAACTGAACATTCAAAAATGCATCACAAATACCATTGACTGGTGCTAATGGTTGATACGAGTTGCTGCCAGCGTCCTAGGTATCAACCAAGTACCTTCTTAAGATGTACGATGTTCCAAGTAGCACAGTTTTTTGCAGTTCTGCTTCATTTAATGTGATAAGATTTGGATCTGCAATTTTATTCATACTTGTCTGAAGGAGGGAGGGAAGCAAGGGGAGACAGAGATCAAAGGTCAGCCAAAGTGATGCATTTGGGACACAGCAGATCTGATCAAAATGAGTTCCACTGAAAGAATAACACGTTCTATACAGATAATCCTCGATTTACAACAGTACATTTCATTCAAAGTTACATCATCATTGCAAAAAGTGCTATTTTTCTTTAATTTTTTTAAAAAGCAAAATGTGACATTGCATTGTGGTTTAATTTATGTAGAAGACAATTACATGCATAGCTACATCTGGATATCTCATGGGTGATAGGGTTTGTCTCAATTTCTGCACAGCCTGAAAAAGTAGATCTTTATTCATTATTCTATTACAGCATAAAAATGGAGACTTTGGTTGAGAATATTTTACGTATATTATAATTTGCTGGTACAGACTTAGACATGTTTGGTTGCTAGTATGTCCCAGTAGATTTCAGGTTTCGGCCTCAAACCATTTTTGAAAGATTACATGCATATTTTATTGCCTTCCCTGGCAAAGTGTTGTGAAACCTGGGCGAGACAACAAAATAAATTCCACTGAAGTAATTTGCTATGTTGGACCAGCACTAATTTGGGAGGCAAATGGATGTATATTTTATTATGTTCTGGCAACATTATGTAAATGCTTTGGTGGAAAGATGTAGACAGCTATAGATCAATTATTTATTTGTTATCACATTTCATTATAATTAAAATAAAATAATGAGGATATTCTTTGGGGTTTTGACTGAAGCTCTCGGTGTCTGTTACATGCTTTATTGCAATATCAATTCAGATTAGCCATAAAAAAAGTTAACTACATGATCTAATGATGCAAACAGACAAAACTGAATAGCAATGCAAATTATTTCCTTTTCAAGATTTTCCTGGAGTTGAGGATTACGGTGTGTAGTGTACCCATTCTTATGTGAAATTGTTAAAATATAAATCAAACTAAAAAGTATTATTTATTTTTTAGCACCCATACATTTCCATAAGAAATGCAAATACATAGGTGATCACTTTCAGTTTTTCCTTCAGGCTGACAGCTTGTTGACAGCAAGGCCATAAAACAAAACCACTTATCCACCCACTCTTGTTCCCACAGAAAACCAAAACCATTACCCCTATCAAACTTCCTCAAAAATTCAAGAGATCCCAAACTGGCTGGGGAATTCTGGGAGCTGAAGTCCATGTGTCTTAAAGTGGCCAAGTTTAAGAAACCCTGAATTAGATCAATGCTTCTCAATCTCAGAACATTTAAACCAAGGGTCAGCAACCTGCGGCTCTGGAGCTGCATGTGGCTCTTTCATCCTTCTGCTGCGGCTCCACAATTGATAGGGCTTTTGGTTAGGACAGGAAGAGGAAAAGGGACACTGCACTAGGAGGAGACTCTATGGTGGGGGAACTTCCGGTCGGCTCCAGAATTGAATGGGGGGCTTCTGGTTAGGATCTTTGTAGCTCTTTGAGTATTTAACGTTGCCGACTCCTGATGTAAGCTATGTGGACTTGAACTCCCAGTCCACAACTGA